TCAGAACTATTTTTCGGTAAAATAAGTTCCTAAATTCATTAAAAATTGCTAATTTAATCCCACTATTATATTCAAAGCTATTTTATCAAATTTTTTATCAACTTAAATCACTTGATACACTTTAGAGTGTAATATCGTTCTTTTCTCGCCCATAAGCCCTTAATATTTCATATAGGTTGCTAATCTAACGTTCAATTTACCCTCCAAAGTTAACTCTATACACTATTTCTTTATGTAGAATTACCAATCCACCCTCCAATGTTTATCACATACATGTAACGTGACTTGAATTGACGAAAAATTAAATATAGTAACTTCGAATATAATATTCGGGATGTAATTAGCAGATCTTTATAATTCAAGAACTGATATTTCTGAAGAAAAAAAATAATTTAGAAACCTAATTTTCATTCAAGTAATAATTCAGAGATTAAATTGGCAATTTATCTGAAAAAATATAATAAAAACGAGGAGTGAGGGGGTGAAAGCTATGTGACGTGTTGTATAGAGGAGGTTTGGACACGTGGAGAGGAGTGGCTGTTGCGTGGCTGGTTGCTATTGGATGATATTGTCCTAATATTTTGTTGAAATGAAATAAAATCTCCTAAGATTGGTTGCACCTATTGCACAAAAGAGAGTAATAGGAAGTTGAAAAATTAGATTTAGTGCAAGTTTAGAAGTATTTTCAAAATGATTAAAGTTTTTTTTTTTTATGAAAACGTTTTTTGATCCAATTTTCAGAAAAAATAAGTAAATTATGAAAAAGTATTTGAAGTGTTTCTTGGAAGAAATTAGTTATGTGCTTCTTTTTTGGAACCCAAAAATATTTTCTTTAAAAACGCTTTCAAATATTTTAAAAACACTTCTATATGAGCCCAAAGCACACAATGGAAGTGTGGGACCATGATTTTCCAGGCCAGAATAAGGCTGACCTTAATACTGCCACCTCAGAAGTCTGGTCATAGACTTACCAGCGGAGCTGTATCAAACGAAGCAGGGTGCTACCATCACCTTACTCCGGGGCAATGGGCGAAGTCCTAGTGACTTCGCTAGATGACCATGCTTGTTTCGCAAGACACGCAATCTGATCTGGATATGGACACAATCAGATCCTATAAGTCTTGGAATCCTTACAATCTAGGGACAGGCATATGTCGCAAGTAATTACACTCCTAAGAGGATGCAATATCTACTTACTAGATATCCTCTAGAATTTTCCCGGCTTAGAACGAGGATTCTATCCTACAAATTTCTCTCCCATGGTATAAACACACCAATCTAGGGCTCATTTACAGTAACACAATATATACACTTGAATTATCTGGTCCAATGCTTGAGTCTAAAGATCATTCACTAACTTGACTATTGGAGAGCCTTTGGCCAGCATACCTCCCCCCCCTAAGGTTTGCTTACGATTGTCTTACTATTTTGCAGGTTGCTAAGGTTACTCAAATTTATGTTCAACCACCGCTCACAGAGGTGGGCAAATTTAATTCCACCAGAAATTATATGTTCTATGTATCAAGTCTTCAAACCCACATCAGAAAGTTAAGAATACAATTTCATCACATTGATATCGCGGAAATGTTTTTCCGTCCCACATCGAAATAGATAGGAAAAGTAATTCTTCAGTTTCCGCCGCCTTATAAAAGGAATCCATTGAGGCTACTATTAATTTACAAGTCGATTGACGTTTGTTGTATGAAGGGCTGGTTTGGAAATAAACTGTGAAATAAAGTAGCAGAGTATTTAGTAAATTTTTTTGCAAAAGTGCTTTTGAAAAAAAAAAAAAAAAAGCAATATTATATTGTTTGATAAACTTTTATGTAAAACAGATATGAAAAAAAACTGGGTTTTGGAGCTTTGTGTTTTTGGTTTTTTTTCACCCAAAACTGTGAAAAAAAACTGAAGCTGAATGTTTACCAAACATAAAAAAGCTCCAAGCTTTTTTTAATAGCTACTTTTTTTTCAGAATCACCGCAGTACCAAACTAGGGCTAACTCTAGTATCTTTAATTTTAATATTTATAATTAATACTCAAATCCTTATTCTTTAAAGTTTACTATCTTTATGTCTAAACAATTACAAAAGATAAGTACTCGTTTGGATGTACTTTTAAAATGACTGAAAGCACTTTTGGTAAAAATATTTTTGAAACCAATCCTTGGTAAAAATGTAAGTAAATTAAGGAAAAACACGTAAAATGCTTTACAGAAGAAGCATATAACTAATACTTCTTTCAGAAATCACTTTAAATGCTTTTACAAAAAAATATTTTCTCTAACAGTGCTTTCAGTCATTTTAAGAGCACATCCAAACGAGTCCTAAATTGATAACAAGCTTAACGGCTGGTTTGGTATTTATGTGCTTTGAAAAAAAAACTGTTTCTGCTGTGCTGTGAGAATAAGCAGTGGTGAAATAAAGCTGCAGAGTGTTTGGTAACTTTTTTGTAAAAGTGTTTTTGGAAAAAAGAAAAAAAGAAAAAAAAACAGTATTATAGTGTTTGGTAAACTTTTATGTAAAAACTGTGACTGTGTGAAATGATAAAAAATGGTATAATACTAGATGTGCTATTAATTTAATTTTCTTCACAAATAAAGGTGAATTACTAAATATACTTTATTTTTAAAAGAAAAATATTTATAAATTTTATCTTAAACATATTATCCAACGTTTTACAAGAAATCATAATCTAAAGTTTAACAAGAAATCATAATCCAACATTCAACATATAATCCAACATTTATGCTGCTTTACGTTTTCAACTTTTTTTCAAAACTCATTTTTATTACTTCACGTTTTCAGCTTTTTTCATTCAAAAGTGTGAAAAATAAGTTATTTTTAAGTGTTTATCAAATACTTTTTTTAGCTTACTTTTTTTTATACCTACTTTTTATAAAAGTATATCAATACCAGACCAGTACTAAAATATTATCATAGGAAGTGCTGCAATATAATAAAGCAAAAGCCTTGGGCGCACCTAATGCGCGTATGCCGTGCATAAAATGATGAAGAAAAGAGATTCTTGTGGTGCAAAATTCAACTCAATTATTTGAGTTGTGCAATACAATTTGCTTTTTGTGAAACCATAGGGCTTAGGTGCTTTCATGCTAAAAAGAAAAGTAGGCATTGGATGTGACTACAACGCCTCGCGGTATTGAATTCTTTAATTTTAATATTCAAATCTTCATTTTAAAAGTATCCAAAATTTCGTTGCATTGTAAAAAAACTGTAGCTTACTTGCGCAAAAGGCTAATACTTAGGGTTGATTTGGTATTGCTGTGTTTTGAAAAAAAAGCTGCTTCTGCTGTGCTGTGAGAATAAGCAGCTATGAAATAAAGCAGAAAAGTGTTTGGTAAACTTTTTTGTAAAAGTGCTTTTGAAAAAAAAAAAGCAGTATTATAGTGTTTGGTAAACTTTTATGTAAAACAAATGTGAAAAAAAACCAGTTTTTCAAAGCTGGGTTTTGCAGCTTCTTGTTTTTGGCTTTTTTTAACCCAAAACTGTGAAAAAAAGCTGAAGCTGAATGTTTACCAAACACAAAAACAGCTCCCAGCTTTTTTTATACCAGCTTTTTTCAGAATCACCTCAGTACCAAACCAGGTCTTAATGAGATGAAAATTTTACTTCACGAGAGATTGACCAAAAAAACTGTTGAATGGCCTATTTCTTAGGTGTACCCATTGGAGAATTTTGAAAAGATTAAAAAAAAAAAAAACTGAAAAATGAATACTTTACAAGAGATAAAAATTCATTAATCATTTTTTTTTTTTTGAAACTTTAACGAAAAATCACATTTTTACACTAAAAGTCTATCCTGGTACTATTCACTTTACGTTTTATTTTGTCCTTATCGTTAAAACTCAAAGTTTTAAATTTTTTTCATTAGTTTTCTTTTTTTATTTTCTATAACATAATTTAACCGAAGTTTCTTAGAGAGCTTACTCAAGCCAATGCAAACGTGCATGTAAATAGTTAACAGTTGGCACCTATTACGCAATACGACAGTGTTCTTAATCATTTCCTTTACAACTACGAAAAGATACTGAGTAGTGAGATAGAAATACACAATGAATAAAATATTAGAGAGTGTACACGTTTGACTAAAGCTCTCTCTTGTAAACATGATTCCCATGTACCAAATCATGAGTGGTAATAGTGGTTTCACTATTTTTCTATTACTGATCACAAAATAAGGGAGAAAGCAATAATAAATCGATTACGCTTAAGATGTTGCTCGGAGCTGGTAATTGTGTTTTTTTGTTTCCTTTTTTTTTAATGACTTGGTAATGAAAGTCATGTTGGAGATATGCCGTGAAAGTCAATATTCGAAAGAAATATTTCAGGATAATGTATGTATGTGTAGATAACTTTAATACAGCAAAAGGCAAAGTCACTTATTAGGACTATCTCAATGAACGATATACACCCAAAATTAATGAGTCCATGGACAATAGATCGATGGAAGAAGTAATCTAAAGATGTTAGACTACAGAGATTTTCTTCACATAACCATACACTAGTACAAAAAATACTTTGGGTGACGTAGGTCCTTCGTCGCGCAAAGTCAAAAAAACGTCACGCAAAAATTTGCGTGACGAACCTTCGTCACGCGACAAGCGTCGCGCCACGCCTGTGAAAGAAGGTTTTGCGCGACGAAGAAGTTACATGCGTCACGCAAAGTCGGTTGGCGTGACCAAGGTGTGCGTCACGCAAAGTGGGTTAGCGTGACGTAGGATGCGTCACGCAAAGTGGGTTGGGTGGGTTGGCGTGACAGAGGATGCGTCACGCAAAGTGGGTTGGCGTCACTCAAAGACACTTTGCGTGACACATACCTACGTCACGCAAACCCACTTTGCGTGACCTATAGAACTTTTTCGTCGCGCAAACTTTTTATGTTTTAATTTTTTTTTAATTTTTTTGACAAAAATATTTTGGATCTATTAATATTTTGGATTTAATTTTTAATAAATATTGTAATTATTCTAAACAATAAACAATAAACCAAGAAAAAATTTAATTATAAACCATATGAAAATGTGCATACAAGATGTCTAAACAAAAAAAGAAAAAACTACAACAAGTAGTCTTCTAGGTTTGAAAACTACTGGGTATCGGGTAGGTGAGGTGGCTGGGAGGTCGAAGGTGGAGTAAGATCAGGTGCTGTCAGCTGGATTTGGAGACTGGACACCGCTAAGGCTTGTACAATCATACTCATATGCGCCATCATCTGTTCGTTCTCAGCTCTCATCTGCTCGTTCTCCGCCTTTATATGCTCGTTCTGGGCCCTCATCTGCTCACTTTGGGCCTTTATCTGCTCGTCCTGGGCTGCAAGCTGACCTTTTAGGGTTGTCACTTCCTCCTTCAGGGCGTTGACCTCTCCTGTGGTCGATTTGGAAGAAGAGGCACCCGTCTCATGAACCCGCGCCTTCCCCATACCCCGAACAACCTTGCCATGACGACGACTGTACTTTTGATCCAGGACCTCAGTCATGATCTAAAAACCTACATCCTCGGGTAAAGTGACGTCCTCCATCGGGGTTTCCGAGGGAAGTTGCGATGTTGCTTATTGGAGAACAGTATCGCCCTTTTCCACCATAGTAGCCTGTAATAATAAAGAAAAAACGTATAATGGTTAATAACAAAATATAAATAATATTTGAACGATTCATAAATATAAGAATAATAACAATTACATCTACTTACATGAAGCTGCTCAGCGATCTTATTGCCAGGTCGAACGTAAACGTCCTTGAACAAGTCGATCTCTGGGAACTTAGAACCCTCCTAAAAAAAAAAAACCATTAGGAAAATTTTATTAATCAATAATAAAAAATAAATTGTATAAAATTTCAAAATTAATATACTTTTACCTGACGTCGTGTCTCAAGCCTATACGAAAAGGGCTTCGAACCGGAATGGTGGAGAAGTGTCTTAGACTCCCTAGCTATCTTGCCAGCAACAGATTTCTTCTGTTAAACACACAATATACATGTTAGTGCGACTATTTGAAAGAAATTATTTTAAAAAGCTTAAAAAAATAACTAAAAATTTAATGAATTATTATTAAAATATTAAGTACATACCACAAATTTTGGGTCCGTAAAATGGTTGCAGAGCCATTCCCAATCCTCTGGCCGGTCCTCCAACTCGGATGGGCAACCCTCTAGGCGAGCAACCTCTGGATCATTAAATTTCTTAAAATGCGCATGAAGATTGCTCTTCCAATTTTTGTACCGATTTGCGAAGGTCTCGTCTAAGTAGGTGATGACCTCAGGGTATATGTCCTTAAAATCAAAATTGACCTACAAATAAAACAACAAAATAATAGTAAGAAATTTAATAATATTAAGATAATATACTTTGGTTTATAATATTTGTAAACATAATTAAAAAAATGATAAAAGGCCAAAAATTAATATACTAACCGACAACTTGTCTCGCACCAGTATCTTCGTCTCCTGAGGAATTTCTGCCCAAGTCTCCCACTGCATAGGACAACAATTCCGAATAACACAACCACAGCTAGTAGCGACGATGCTATGTTGCTGTGAGGTAGCCGCTCCACGATGTCGCGAGTCATATGCAATCTTGATCAAGGAGGCAGACAGACGTACATTCTGTGCCGTCTTCAGCATTCGATTAGGCCCCCTGGTTCTTTTTTTAGCTATCCAAAAAAACTTAAATGGTGAAAATCCTAAGCTTAAATTTCTATAGAAAATTTTGCAAAACCTCCCCTAATAGTATATCATTTCCCAAAACCTTAAAAAAGTAAAATAACAGTAATTCACAACCCGCAACAAATTTTCACAATCATAAAAATAATAGTTTTAAAATGAAAAAAAAATACAACGTAGTGAGAATTAGGAAAAAAAAACTACCTGGCTGGGAGCCCCCATCCTCAACTCTGGATGATGAGGAAGTGTGAACAGAAGACTCCAAATCGCAGCGGTGCCGGTGAGGCCGCCGTGCACTGAGCGACTGAACCGACACTGATGACGTCGATGATACAGGCACCTGGGATGCTGTAGCAGTAGCCTCAGTAAGGGGTGTAGGCTCCCCAATCAATGGAGCACTCACGGATGGAGCAGTAAATGCTGATAATGCGGGAGGCGCATTGGTCACACTCCTACGACGAGTGATCAACTGCGACATCTATACACTTTTTGAAGAAAGCATTCAACTCAACATCATTTGAAAGACAAACTTATCAGTAAGAAATTTAACAAAAGAATAGAAAACAAAAGGCGAAAGCATAAATCTTTTCTCGCTAAAAAGAAGGTAAAAGGCTTAAAAGCATGCCACACAAAATGCTGAAAGAATACCTTTTCAGCTTTTATAATATTTGCTTAATGGAATATAGGATTTCAAGGTTCAACCACCAAGTTCTTGATGAGAAATACGTAACAAAAAGAAATTGTGCAAAGGTCTAATTAAACCAATGTCATAACAATGGAACGAAAAGTTTCACATGCCGAAACTGAAACACACACTACACTGCTACAACTTAGAAATTAAAATGCCAATTATCTAAAGTTAGTCAATTCTACTTCACATATCTGATAGGAGCATATTTAGGCGACTTACTTAGCTTGTTTTCATGCATCTATGTTGTTAATTCATAGTTGTTTTAGTAGTTTAAGCTATTTTCGTTTGTTTTTAGGTCCTCATGGCAAAGGGAGCAAGAAAGTGCATTTTGAGGCTATTTGGAGCATTTTTGGGCATGGATTGGATAGCTTAAACATGGAGCAAAGAGGATGGACGAAATTGAAGCCTTGTATGCTCTTTGGGACATAAAACAAAGGGCCTAGCCCAATCAAACAATCCTTTGAGCCATGCAAAACCTCTAGCCCAATCAAACAATCCATCAAAGCCATGCAAAACCACCATTCACACACACTTCACACAAACAACATCCTAGCCGCACTCCCCCTTGCATTTCCAGCCATTCCACTTCATCATTACACCACATTCTCCCTCTTTAATCCACATGCATTCATCATCATTCACCCTAGCTGCCACTCACATGCATTCACACACACTTCACACAAACAACAATCACTTCAAACCGTGCATAACAATTCCAGCACCAACAACACTTCATTGCCGTGCATTTCACTCCACTTTCCAGCATTCCATTTCATTATTGCAGCCACCATTCACTCTTTAACACACATGCACCCATCACTTAGAACAAGCTTTGCCGTGCAACCCCCATTCATTTCCAGCTTTCCACCAACTTTCCTAGCTGTTTTCCATCATTATTTCAGCCACATGCACTCTCAATCATAAGAGCCACATGCATTCTTAAACAAATAGCCATATACACCTCCATTCCTCCTATAAAAACCCATGCATTCCCATTACCACAACACACAACAACAATCACATCTCTTGTGCTGTGCATCCCTTCCAATTCCAGCATCTATCCTTCCATTTCAACCATTCCCCATCCCTCCAAAACACTATCCTACCATCCCCAATCCATTCCACATACAAACCAACCCCAAAACCTATCCTTAGACCTTGTGCCACAACAAAGAGGAGGAGAAAAGTGCCTAAACGTTCATACAATTCAAGTTTGAGTTATTGGAATTTTTAGGTGTTTCTTTTCCTCGATTTCAATGTTTAATTTCAATTCTCTTTGTCTTGTACGTATGAGGAACTAAACCCCCCCTTGGCTAGGGGGGATTCGAAATACATGTTTATACTTGCGATATGATTTGATTACTTCTAATTGCGTTTCATAAGTTGTGGATTCAATTTGTTTAACTGTTTGATTGATAACTTATTTATGTATGTTTATTGAGAGTGCACGCTTAATTTTCATGCATGAATATGACGCTAGAATATAAGTGAGTTTCACCTAATAGTTATGAACTTATATTCACAAGTAGTGGAGGTTGCTTATAAACAATCGCGTTAAGTAAATTCTTGGCATAAGTTTCATGCAATCATAGTAACAAGTGCTTCGTCAATGCTTATGATTTTCATAGAACTTAACGATTCTTGCTTGTATCCCTATTATGCAATCATGTAGGGGACTTGTGGGGAATGTTTTGGGTTGTCGTATGCAATCATCCAATTCAATAACGTTAGGAAAATCTAAGGGTTAATTAGTGCAATTCACGGTTAATCTGGGGCGTTGAGAATTCATGGTTTATTGAAAAGCAATTAGAAATCGTTTTGTGTGCAAGTATAACATGTGTGGAGATGAACCCCTTAGCTAGCCTCCCATCCATTCAATTCCATCAAATTCGTATTTACAATTTGTTTTCTTTACAATCTGTCCATTTTAGTTTAATTTCGTCAAAACCTCAATCCCCCTATATTTTGTTTAGTCTTAGTCTTAATCTATCTTATATTGAGTTTTGCATTCTTTGAGTCTAGTATAGTGTTTTAAACTTGTTTTTACGTTTTTGAGTCAAATCCAAGTGATTAACAATCCCTCCTAATCCCCGGTCCAGAACGATCCCTACTTACATACTTACTACAATTGACAAAAAGAGGGTTTAATTTGTGTGCGCATAAATAACGCATCAATATCACACATCACAACTTAGTCAATTCTAAAGTTAGTCAATTATCTAAAGTTAGTCAATTCTAAAAACTTCACATATCACATATCACAACTTAGTCAACTTAGAAATTAAAATGCCAATTATCTAAAGTTAGTCAATTCTAAAGTTAGTCAATTCTACTTCACATATCACAACTTAGAAATTAAAATGCCAATTATCTAAAGTTAGTCAATTCTACTTCACATATCTAAAGTTAGTCAATTCTACTTCACACATCACAATAACTCAATTTTTTCCGACTAATGACAAGTTCGCTTCTAAATGCAATTGGTTTTCTCAAATCATCTTAAACCCAAATGCTCAATGGCTATACAATCACAAATTATGATTCAAAATAATTGAAATTGTGCTAAATGGCTATACAATGGCTGTATAAGACAATAAGGTCTTAATCACATTGATCTAGTACAATCGAAAAGGCCTCCGTGCATGTTTTTCCAAATATACCCAGGTTACAGAAATACCTTGTTCAGCTGGTAATGAACTTTGATTCCTTGTAGTATCCTTTTGGAGATGTTCCACCATACCCAGGTCACCGATAAGATTCCTAGAGGGAACACACTCTTTCCAACCCCAAGTGTAAACTTCACCAGTCTCTGTAGAATGTAGATTGACCAATAATCCCAATTAGTTCACATTCTGGTCCTGTAGAAATTCATTACAAATAAATTGTTTATGTATGAAAAAGACATGAAGCCCGTGTTTATTCATCCAGAATTCACTACAACCACAAATTAAAAACATGAAGCCCGTGTTTATTCATCCAGAAAGCACAGGAAAAACAAATTAAAAACACCAAATTTCCACTTTTAAATCTTCTTTTTTTCCTATGTCGTCAAATAACAACAATGATTCAAATAACAATAATCATTACTAAAAAATTCGATTCATAATTCGATTCAAATAACAATAAACATTTGAGCACAAATTCAATTCAATAGGGCAGGGGACTGAACATGGGTGTGCGGGTGGTGGTAAATGGGGACAAGTCGTTCCCCCCTTAAATAAATTTGTTTTTCAATCACAAAACGAAACAACTCTGGGCTAGTGGTTCATATGCATTTCGGAAGTAGAATCTCGATGCAGTAAAATGTCTATAAACTATGCCTGACAGGCTGACAGCCCACATTTAAGAAGCATTACGAATTCAACTCTCAGAAGGATCAATATATATCCTTTCCTTAAAATCTCCATTCAAGTGAAACCCTGCTTAATGTAAAGAAATTTTGGAAGACAAGCTCACCCTAATCCCTAAATAACAATGAACTGCAATTTCACCCTAATCCCTAATCCCTACAATGAACTGCAATTTCACCCATCCCTGCTTTCAACTCCTGCAACTCTGCCACTGCAGGAAGCACGGCTGCTAACGTCGTCGAATCAAAACCCATCCCACCCACAACCATATCTCCAAAAACCCGTATCGAATCATCGTAATAACAATTCCTCACCAACCCAGATATCATCGTATTCCACAAAACCGTGTCCTTCTCGGGCAATCCATCAAACACCTTCTGTGCTAACTCAGCCCGGGAAAGCTTAAAGTAAAAGTCAACAACAATCGACCCAACATTCAAATTCAATCCTAACCCATCAACAATCGAGTGCGCGTGCAGCAAAATCACAAACCCTAATCGTAGTGAAACCCTACAATGAACTGCAATTTCACCCTAATCCCTAAATAACAAAAACCCATCGCAAATCACAAACCCTTACCTTGATTTTGGGACTTGATTCCCGTCAGCTTCAAGATTCGTGTGGCTACCCGTCGTTTAGAACGAGAAGGAACAGAGAAGTCTATGGGAAAGAGAGAGGGAAGACAAGTCTGGGTTAAAGATTTGGGGACCAAGGTTGCGAAGAGGAGAGATGAGCAAGAGGGAAGAGATAGAGGAGACATAGGGCTTGAGCGAGAGGAAAAGAGGAAAGTCTTTTCCTGCAATTTGATTTGCAATTTGAGCGAGAGGAAAGTCTGCAATTTAAGCAAGAGGAAGAGGAAAAGAGGTCTGCAATTTGAGGAAAAGAGGTCTACAGAAAGAAAAACCGAGAGGAAAAGAGGATAGGATATATGGTTCCAAAACTTGGAAAAATTGAAAAAAAACGCCTATTTTTCGCTATGGACCGCCAAAATTATCAATTCGCGTGACGTAGGTATACAATTCGACGTCACGCAAAGTGGTTTTGCGCGACAATTAAAGCGTCGCGCAAGGTTTTTTTTATTTTTTTTTTAAGTATTAAAAAAATTACCAAAAATGTGACTTTACTCCTTTCAAGTTCAATTTTTATTTCACATAAACCCCACAATAATATATTATTCTAAAAAAGACCCATAATAATTTTTTTTACATATATATCATTCAATTTCTTAAGTGTTATAAGTACAAAATAAATAAATTAAAATCTACTTAGTAAATACATATACCATTGCACTTGATGGGAAACACATTGTACGAAACTAGTTTCAACGATCCAACCGTCAAACTTGTTTGTATATGCTTCGAGATCGCATACGCCAAAAATAGGAAAAAAAAACATTTAGAGATCAAGTAACGCGACAAAACTTTTCGACGGTTATAAATGAAAAATAACGATTTAACGGTAGTTTTAACTCCGATTTTGATGATTTTTTACAGCTACACTCCTTGACCCTATATGAATACAATGAACTAATTCGATCGTCAATTTAAAGTATTTACACAAGTGGATACCACAAAATCTTATGTTATACTTAATGAAAGTATTAATAAACTCTAAGTGTTAGTAAATCTACCATTTTGATGGGAAACACATTGTACGAAACTATTTTCAACGATCCAACCGTCAAACTTGTTTGTATATGCTTCGAGATCGCATACGCCAAAAATAGCAAAAAAAAACATTTAGAGATCAAGTAACGCGACAAAACTTTTCGACGGTTATAAATGAAAAATAACGATTTAACGGTAGTTTTAACTCCGATTTTGATGATTTTTTACAGCTACACTCCTTGACCCTATATAAATACAATGAACTAATTCGATCATCAATTTAAAGTATTTACACAAGTGGATACCACAAAATCTTATGTTATACTTAATGAAAGTATTAATAAACTCTAAGTGTTAGTAAATCTACCATTTTGATGGGAAACACATTGTACGAAACTAGTTTCAACGATCCAACCGTCAAACTTGTTTGTATATGCTTCGAGATCGCATACGCCAAAAATAGAAAAAAAAAAACATTTAGAGATCAAGTAACGCGACAAAACTTTTCGACGGTTATAAATGAAAAATAACGATTTAACGGTAGTTTTAACTCCGATTTTGATGATTTTTTACAGCTACACTCCTTGACCCTATATGAATACAATGAACTAGTTCGATCGTCAATTTAAAGTATTTACACAAGTGGATACCACAAAATCTTATGTTATACTTAATGAAAGTATTAATAAACTCTAAGTGTTAGTAAATCTACCATTTTGATGGACGTTTAGGTACGGATATTTCAGTACACTAATTTAGTGAAATATATTATGATATGGACGTTTACCAATATATTTCAGTACACTAGTTCACTACAATATATTTAGATACGGATATTTCAGTACACTAATTTAGTGAAATATATTATGATATGGACGTTTAGGTACACTAATTAGAGGAAGTTAAATAAAATCAATGACATTAAATAAGATATCTATAAAACAAAAATATAATATGAGTTTGAATTCAGTACACATTAAGAGACTAAAATCAATATACAATCTGACACCAGATTTTTATTAAATTTTAATCGTCTTAAAAGATTAAAGTTCAAAAATACAATTCTCGACTTGCCAATCTATTTGTTTACTAACACATGGAATTGAAAAAATTTAGCTTGTTAGTTACTAACACGTGGATCAGGAATTTTAACCAATTCAAAGGCTCGTTGTTTGCATATTCATTTGTTCTTTTCATTTTCATTCCCAGATTCTAAATTTCTCTTGTTTCAAATAAGTAAACATTGCAAAATATTATTCTTAAAGGTGCGAACGAGATAAACCATCCATAGATGTAGGTTTTAAAGTGTAAATAAGGTGTTGAAGGAATATTGAATGAGGTTGCATGAAAGCATGGCGAAAACATTGTCAAGATCCAAAATTCTGGATGAATTTCTAAACATCGAGCAACCGATATAGTTCCAACCAAAATTGGATACAAAATTTTTACTATGAATACATTTATAATAACCTAAACGTTGCACAAAATTTGCACCATAGAAACCGCCTTCATCTGTCTCCCTTAACGTCCGCGATGCAAGGCCGCCATACCTGCAATCAGTGAGCGAGCGAGTGAATTCCCGAAGCACCAACATTAGTAATCTATTACCTAAAAAACGTAATGGGAAAAAAAAAAAATCAGAAATGCTGCTAATATTGCCAAAATATTACCTTGACCTTGAAGGCAAAAGTCATGAGAAGGTACTACGCAACCAAAACAACCAAACTCATCGCCTTCTCTTCTTGCCTTTGCCTTTGCCTAATTGCCCAGACTTCATAGCGTGTTCTTGTTCTTGTAGGAAAAGTCGTACCTTTCCATATTTCTCAGCTTTTTCTTCTTCCATCAGCGCCTTATCCCTCGCCTTCACCTCGTACAGGAAAGAATTATCCTTACGCAGTTCACGAATAGCCCCTTTAGCTTCTTGCTTCAAAAGTTTCTTCATCTTTCTTCTCTCGGCTTGTTCCCGATCTGGATCATAGTCTCTGCCCTTAACAAAGCTGCATAACAAAATATCATTCAGCGGTGACTCCAGCAATACGTTCAAGCACTACCCAACATAATAACATTATGACAATTGGGTACGGGAGGTAAAGATAAATTACTTCTCCTCAAATTTCGGATTGAGCATTTTGATAGCCACTGGCTTTTGCTTCCGCATCTGAAGTGGTTGCCGCAGAATGTGATGTTTATCTGCTTTTGTCTTAATCAGTTCAGCAACATCTTTTAGTCTGTCTGTTAATACTTGTGGCATATTCTCCTGTTCTGCCACTTCAAGCAACAAGACTGAAATTGGCAAAAAAATTTCGGGAAAAGAACTGAATCCTTCGTAAATGATGACAAACTCACGTAGAGTTTCAATCACCGTAACCAGCACACTAGCCCTGAAAATTAAAAGTTCCAACTTTTAAAGTCGTAAGACCATATGCAAACTTTACAGTATTGTTATTACACTAATTTAGTGCAACAAAATTCTGAACCTGTGCTTACCAATGCCAATGCGTTCACCAATCTGAAGATCCTCCCATAGAATTTCCCACTCTGCAACTTCCCCTAGTGCGGGATACCTCTCATAGTGACTATCACAACTAGTACACAGGCCACTATTGCATCTGTCCATTGGCTTACTCACTGATTCTTTATACTCGTTCAAAGCTTCGGAGTTCATTGGGGGATTATCAAGAACAGGATTACAAATCTGGGTTGTTTCACTAGTTCCACCAGACATGATTACAAATCCCTCCTCAACAGTATCTAAGAGAAGAGAAAACTTGTTTGTCTCACAAAACTCCACCATTACCAAAAAAGGGCATAGCAAGTAAGCAAAGGTACATATACAAAAATCCCATATGCAATATGAAAAAAATACCTTCAAATTCGTTCTTCAATGATAATTGTATACAAAAATCCTGTACAAAACAAGTTTAGTAGTTTTAGTTTGAATTCTCAATTCAAAGTTGCATATACAAAATCAAATTGCTTACCAGATACAAATAGATTAAGGAACGGAGAGAATTGGAGAACGTTTAGAACAGAGATGGGGGAGGGAGGTAGCTGCTGCAACTAGTTTGCAGTTTCTACCACCCAAACTGATTAAGCAAAGGAAAAAAAAAGTCGTTGACTTTGCGTGACATATGTGGCGTCGGGCAAAACAGCTTTGCGCGACGCACGTGCACTTACGTCGCGCAAAGCTGTTTTGCGTGACGCCACATACGTCACGCAAAGATGTTTTGCGCGACGTAAGTGCACGTGCGTCGCGCAAAGCTGTTTTGCGCGACTCACGTAGCCCTGCGTCACGCAAAGTCAACAGAAAAAGCGGTAAAACTTACTTGCTTTAGTGCCAAAATCTTGCGGGACGCACAAAACGTCGCGCAAAGGCCATTTGCGCGACGTTTAGTGTTTAATGTCACGCAAACATACTTTGCGCGACGCATTTAGCTGCGTCGCGCAAACATGTTTTTGTACTAGTGATAATGTCCAAAAGGTTCCTAGTCATAGGATTGTTAGAGGGACGCTGACAATCCAGATAGACTAGTACATACTATGTCTGCTTTAAATACGAAGGATGGAAAGTCTCAAACCATTCGTGTAGTGACACTAAGACAAGTATATAGGTGCTTATTAAGGGAATGAGTTCACTGAACACAATCAAACAAGAGTACTTGCATGGAGGTCTACTCACATGTCAAGCAAGTAACTCTACTAGTTAGAATAATGTAAGTATTCCTTTGATCTGAGACATCATAGTTGTCTTGGGGATACGTTGCTGATCATTTGATAATGAGACATGACCACATCTCATCTTGGATGTGTTATATGCAGTGTTGGGGTCAGTGATTTATTCTCAGAGGCATGCGAATGATCAACAAGGGATCTCTAATCCTCGTTATGAGAGGAAGAATACTCTTAGATATGATTCAAGAATCTTCGGCCGAAGTATCGAGTGTAATTATGGAAGGCGTTCCTATATGACTCAGTTGAATCATATAACTTGGTATAATCACATTAGGGGTTTGACATTAAGTATCCATACCCTAGTAATGTGATTATGAGTATTGTATTAGAGAATGATCGAATTACATTGTAATTCCAACTAAATAGGTTCTCTGACCAAATTCTACATTTGCTTGGGTAGCCATGATATTTACAACTTAAATTGACATTTGATATTTATAATACTACTCTTGTGTCCCTCAACTTTAACCAGGAGCAATGGTCCCTTAACCAACTTGTAGCAATGGTTCTTCCAACATGACTCATTCTGAAGGAAGTTATGACGGAGTTGACAAAAAGGTTGCACGTTTTGATGAGTTTAGGGACCAAAGGTCACATATTTTAGTTGAGGAATCATTGCTCCAATTGGGTTAAAGTTGAGAGACGTTGCTATAATTTTCTCTTCTTTAGAATTAAGCTTCTTTTCCTTGTTTCAATTGCGGTTTTGAGGATGTTGTGGTTCGTATTGTTGATTATTATGTTAACGTAGGCATGTTCACGGAAAGAGGGTTCTTGTGGTCACTAACACCAAAGTTGCACCATTGTACTTGGATAAAGTTGTTGAGGCTTTGACAAGAGATAACCCCAATGTGTCAGTTGAGAGGGTGATTTTACCGGATGGTGAGAAGTGTAAGAACATGGTGAGTATCTAAATGCTCGTTTGAAATACAGTCTTTAAGATTGCATTTGGCCAGTTGAATCATGAGTAACCGTGTTCTTCAACTGGCAGGGCACTCTTATGAAAGTGTTTGATAAGGCTATTGGGTCAAGAGTACTGGACCAGCGATGTACATTTGTTGCGCTCGGAGGCGGCGTGATTGGTGACATGTGTGGCTATGCTGCTGTTTCTTACCTTCGAGGTGTTAACTTCATTCAGATTCTGACAATTTTTATGGCGCAGGTCGGTCACTAACTATCTCTTTCCTTTTCTAGCAATCATGCACTTATGCTCATTGTGTCTCATGCATCAAATTTTTACGTTGCTCGACTTGCAGGTTGATTCTTCTGTTGGCGGAAAAACTGCTATAAACCACTCTCTTGGGAAGAACTTAATCGGTGCTTTTTACCAACCTCAGTGTACGCTTATTGACACAAACACATTGAACACATTACCAGATCGGGAACTGGCATCAGGGCTTGCGGAGGCCATTAAGTGTGGGCTTGTTAGAGATGCAGATTTCTTTGAATGGCAGGAGAGGAATATTCAGGCAATAATGGCAAGGTATGAAAGTTACACTGAGAGTAACGAACAGCAAAAAGTTACTGGAGCCAGCACCATGCTGCATATTCCTCTCAATTCATGTTCTATTTCACATGATAAATGTTACGGGACATCAAATTAAGAGAGCGTCTTGTCACCGCCAGTGGTTATGACTTTAAGGCTGTAACAATGTGGCCATTTTATCTTTTCTAGTCTGTTGAAGCTTCGTGAATAATCTCGTTCCTGCACAAGATGCATATTAGGTTAGTTACGTTGAATATAGTTGGTGCATGCAGGGATCCAGCGGCATTGGCTTATGCTATAAAGCAGTCGTGTGAAATCAAGGCTGAGCTTGTCCTTGGACGAGAGGGAAAGTGGACTGAGGGCTATACTGAATTTGGGTCATACATTTGGTCATGTGAGTTTTTGTTTTGTACAATTAGGTGTTGAAAGCCTATGTACTTTGACAAGTTATCTTCGCCTTTTGTTATATTCTGTTAAATCCCCTATCTAATTGAATCTTTCGGATGAAATGTGACGTATTTTCAGGCAATAGAAACTGGCTCCATGGAGAAGCTGTTGCGGCTCGGTAAGAGATTTACGCATTTACATTTCTTTCTTCCCTTACAACATTATTCCTCAATATTTAAAGAGCTTGTGTGCTAGGTTATGGCTGCTGACATGTCATACCGCCTTGGCTGGATTGATGATGCACTTGAGAAGCGAACTACCAACATTTTTAAGCAGTCCAAGTTACCTATTGCACCTGCTGAATCTGTGACGATCGAGATGTTCAGATCTGTAATGGCGGTAAGAGAATGGCAGTGTAAGTTCATAGAAGCTCAGTAACTTCTTTGCTTGTTTGTTAATGCATCCGTCTTCCTTCGGCGTGGCAGCTTGATAAGAAGGTAGCTGATGGGTTACTAAGGCTCGTCCTTCTGAAGGGTCCTTTGGGAAACTGTGTCTTCACCGGAAGGCCCTCGACGAAACACTCCATGCATTTTGTAAGTCCTGATGATCCGCACAAGATGTGTGTGAGTTCCTCACCTGCGTTTCGTGGTTTTTGTATTTTAGTCGTCCACTCGTCCGTGTACTTTGCCCCTATGTTTTACATGCCCTTAGCTTCCCCTAAATTTATTGGCAAGAGCTTTTACCATGTTGTAATTTTAGAAACTATTGTATTTACAATAAGCATGGGAAACCATATTATTCAACTCTTGCTTCTTTTCTGGAAATCGTGAATGTAATATATGCATATTCTGAGAAAGACTTGGCTCCTCAAGGACCTCCTCTTTTAAAATACCTCAAGACCCTATATATCTACAGTATTTTGTGCTTCTGATCGGGATCGCTCATAACTATTCACTATGTAAAGATCATCTCTACAAAAATTAATTAAAACTAAGGTTGTTTAGTCATCGAGCTGTATAAAAATAGATTAACGGATTGGGTAAAAGAATTACGAACCGTCTATCTATTTGTTACAGGTGATTAACTAAACGATCTTAGTTTTAATTGATGTTTTACAAAAATGATCTTTACATGGTAATTTATAATATGAACGATTTTGATCGTAAGCACATGATTTGGTGAGTAGACCACAAAGTATTTTGAGAAGGAACTCGTTAACCTTAAGGAACCAAGCTCTTCTCTTCTTTTTTAGTTCCAATTTTTCAAGGAACTCCTTAACCTCAAACAACACTCAACATTCCGGTTTATAACATGATGTCACGTGATTTAAGTTTTCCATATAGCATTGCATGATTTGGTTGGAGCACCTTCACCTTGACGTCCCCACTTCATGAAAGTATTTGATCTCGGCTTTTCATCGAATCACTTGGAAATAGCCACGACAATTATTTTTTTCGTTTCTTTTTATACCTCTTGCCCGCCAAATGGAGAAGAACTTACATGCAACTGGAATTTCGTAGTTAAATCTCAAACCAATTACTCGATGCCTTATAAATAAGTTAAAATACATAACCATGTGGGACAGACTCGATTCAATGACACCTTTATCGTCTCGGTTGCATGTAAGTTTTTCCACTGTTCTAAAAATCTCCGCCTAGGCGCTAGGCGGTTTGTCACCGCCCCGATTAATACCTAGACGTTTGAAAATTAAGAAAATGCCCATAGACCTACTGAGGCGCTCGCCTAGACCGCCTAGGCACCTGCCCAGACTTGCCTAGGCATCGACTCACTTAGGCAGAAAATAGATAACTTTCATTTTGCATTTTATTTTTTTTCAATAAATTGTAAGAGACTTGTCGAATACTTAAATGAGCACACATATATGCTTGTTCCCCATGTTTTCATTATGTTCCAATACTTCATAATATATTTGTTATTCTATTTTGTAGTTTATGATGAAATTATATATATTTTAAGTATAAACATACACTTATTTACATGAAATATAATGAATTTAGTTAAATCTGCCTAGTCCGCCTAGCCGCCTAGGCGCTAGGTCCCAGCTCGCCACCTAAGCGCCGCCCGACTAACGCCTAGCGTTTTTAGAACCTTGAGTTTTTCTATGCTAGATGAGTAGTTTTGCCCTTTTTCTTTCCAGCCTTGCAATTCAAATTCCAAAATTGGATAAACATTTTTGCCCTATACTTTTAAGGTGGCAATGCAACTGTTCCATAATGTAATTGGAGGAGGACAGACAGCTTTAGCATCGCCAGAAGATCTTCTGCCCAATCTGCCGATTCTGCCCTAATCATATTTAATTCTTCCCCCTCCTAATCCCACCTAATCTCCTCACATTCCCTCTCATTCTCTCACACTTTCCTCTCTGTTTTGCTTTTTCTATAAAAAAAAAGTCAACACAAAATGTTGATATAATTTAATCATAACCGTTTAAATAGGAGAAGAGGGGAGGGAAGGGAGATTGAGAGAAAAATTAGGAGGGGAGAGAACTCTACTCCGGTTTTACAACGTAAGTGGATGTTTCAAAACATATACTTTTCCTTAAGATTTCAATATTTAATCTCAATTTGTTCGCAAGTGATAAATAGTCCGGCGAATAAAACCTCCTATTCAGCTTATTGCATCTTAAGTTTAAACGATTTTCATATTTTATGATCAGTGTAGTTTAAAATAATAATAACGTTTGTAATAAAAAATCTCAAATTGCCCAAAAAGCCTTTCACACCAAATCCACAAGGCCTCCAAACTTTCCATAATCTTAGTTAATTATCTTGTACCTAAAGAAATTAATCATTTTTCATGAAATTATTCTTGTATTGTGGGGTTTGATGTGGTTGCTGTCATGTAAATTATACTCTATCAAATTCCAACCACCTCTTCTACCACACATTCATTGGCAAGCATAAGTTGGTATGGTAGTTTTCATCTAATATATCAATATTTAAAGTACATGTTAAGATACGAGTATAACGTTATATCGTGTGACAGTATTATAGTATCATATAATAATTTCACATGTTAGTATTGCTCGAATCAAGTACAGTTAGGTTAAGGCCAAAATAATCCTCAACTAATTGACAATTAGAACATATCACCGTCATTGTAATCCAATAAACTAAAAGGACAGTCCCAAGCCAACAAAGTTTCTTGCAAAGCGAGGGTCGCAGAGAAACGTCTAATATGCAGTCTTACCTTTACTTTGCAAATATGTTGTTTCCACGACTCGAACTCGTGATTTTTTTTATCACCAAAGAGCAACATTTCCGTTGACCAAGGCCTGCTTTGATCCCATAAATAAAAAAGAAAAAATTATGCATAGCACAAAAATAACTCTTCTTGAAAACAAGAATCCAATTAAAAATCCATGAAACTAGATGTGAAAGGATTCTTATCTATTTATGATTATCTCTACTAATCATCCTCATCAAACTTGGGTTGTGATTATTTCTTTGTCACAAATTATTGGAACAGGTTGACATGATGATAACATAACACGTCAGAACTTGCAAAAACACTATTGTGCAGACAGTTAGACTTTTATGTACAAATATACCAAGCGAGCCAGGTTTCTTTCGCACTCATCTGACGTTTTATATCGTGTCATACTTTGTATCTGGAATACAAACCAAAATAAGAATCACCAACTAATTAGTCATAACGACAATCCAGCAACATAACACGTCATTTTCCAACGCCAACAACAAAAATAGTAATCATGGAACAATTCCGTGTGAACAATAGCGAACCAATCCCAAATTACCTTAAATCAATAGTCGATTTCCAAATTAAAGGGATAAAAATTAAAATCACACAGACAAGACTTAACATTTTTCATTTCACTTTTCATCCTCACCAACCTCAAAAATCTTTTGGGAAAAAAAAAAAAAAAAAAAAAAAGCCCCTCAAAAATCCGACCCAAACACATATAACCGGACCCAACTTCCTCGCGACTAGCGCGCAGAAAGAAAGAAAAACAGAGAGGAGAGAGAAAGAGACACAGAGGGGAGAGAGAGAGTCTCACAGTCACAGCCTCGCAGCTATTTGTTGGAGAGTTTGTTGCTCAACGAACGCTTCAACGGCAAATAAAATTCGCGGCCAAAAAAATAGTCCGCCATTTTTGTCTCGCTCACTCTCCTCTTTTCTCTTCCGTGGAGCTTCCAGACGCCCGCACAAGACCCACATTCGCCCATTTTTCTCCTTCCAATTTTCCCCTTCCGAACTCCCCCAATCTTTTTCTTCTCTTTTCTCTCTCGATTTCTCCCCCCCCCCCATTTGCCAGAATTAGGGTTAGGTTCCGTCGTGAATCGTCCGGATTTCGATCGCGCCACAGATGTGTAAGTGAAGAGGACGAGGAGGAAGGAGAAGAAGAAGAAGATCGGGTCCTCAGGTTCGAAGATCTGGGGCTTGGGTTTTTCTCGAGAAAGTGAGAGAGCGAGAAAATGAGCGCGTCCAGGTTCATAAAGTGCGTCACGGTTGGGGACGGGGCTGTGGGTAAGACGTGTCTGCTTATCTCCTACACCAGCAACACCTTCCCCACCGTAAGTCTTCAATTCCCAATTCCCAATTCGCTTTAATTTCCCTTCCTTTTTTGGGAATTTTAATTTCGTGCGCCATTGTTGCAATAGGTGGAATGTATTTGGTAATTGATTTATTGCTTTTAATTGGGTTTTTGGGTTTGGTTCTGGGGAGGTTTGATGCCGAATGCAATGTGTTGTTGGTATAATTTGTTGTTTTGGTAGAATAATTATTCACAAATTAGCTTCCTTTGAAAATGTGCTTTGTGGTTCCTTTTGTTTCTGGTGCTGCTATTCGCTGATTTTGTATTATTTTTAGCTCAATCTTGCTGACGATATTTGATTGTTTTAGGAAAACATTGGGTGCAAATAATTAGAATGGTATTAATTTTGGTCAAAATTGCCCCTTTTTTGGAGGGGCAATCAAATGTGAAAGGTTTGAAAATAAGTGGGTTATTTGGGATTTTTCAATTCTTTTTCTGCTCTTTGACTTAATTCCTCGGATGTTTGGATTGAGGCGTTTTATAGGAGTTTTTTAGATTTTTGGGATTTTACTTTAGCTATTCTGCCTATAAGATGTTATTTGATGAAATTTTAATTCTTTTCTCCCTAGAATGTCTGAACTTCCGAACTTTTTGCAATGTGGTTGTTTGTGATTTCATATTGTTAAGGTTTATAACTTGTAAGGAAGGGGAGATCACTTGTCGTTATGATGTACGGTTTATAACTTTATTCCGTATTGTGGTGGGAAACAGGATTACGTGCCAACTGTTTTCGACAATTTCAGTGCAAACGTGGTCGTGAATGGGAGCACTGTTAACCTGGGGCTATGGGACACAGCTGGTAAATATGCGTTGTCACTTCGGTTTTTTTTGACTAGGGGTTGTATGCATATATGTGTTTTAGGTCTGAATTTATTTTTTGTGCAACAGGACAGGAGGATTACAATAGATTAAGACCTTTGAGTTATCGTGGTGCTGATGTGTTTATACTGGCGTTCTCTCTCATCAGCAAAGCCAGCTATGAAAATGTGTCCAAGAAGGTGAGATTTTGCCATATGGGATGTATGTGTACAAAATGTGCTGCTGAATATGACTGTTTTGTCTTTACCTTGATGATCTGATGATGAATCTCAAATATATTGATTTCCTTTCCAGTGGATCCCAGAATTGAAGCATTATGCGCCCGGTGTCCCGATTATTCTCGTTGGAACAAAGCTTGGTAAAATTTTTATCTTTCTACTTTGTAGATATTTAAAAAAAGTTTCGGCCGCTTTATTAATCTTTTTCCTCAACCGTAGATAAATCTTGAGATAATGGGCCCATTGTTTGAACACATTGAGTGTTTTTATTCAATGATAGTTCTAACTGCGAAATGTCTTTAAGGAGGGCCCTTCTTACTTCTCTTTTATCATAAAAATTTAATGAGCCAGATCTTCGGGACGACAAGCAGTTCTTTATTGACCATCCTGGTGCTGTCCCAATTACTACCGCTCAAGTAACGTTCCTGTCTTTATTGACCATCCTTGTGCCTTATCTTCTTTTCTTCTTCCTTATAATTAAGATTTATATCTCTACCCTTGTAGGGAGAGGAGCTCAGGAAGCTAATTGGAGCACCAGCGTATATCGAGTGCAGTTCAAAAACTCAGCAGGTGTTTATATTATCTATTGCATTATGCGGGGGTATTTTTCATGCCTGAACTGTGACTTATGACGTGTGCTTGCGACTGCAGAATGTGAAAGGGGTCTTTGATGCCGCCATCAGGGTTGTCCTTCAACCTCCGAAGCAGAAGAAAAAGGAAGGCGGCAAAGGGAAGGCATGCTCCATATTGTGATTTGGAAAATAGGTGTAAAGAGATAATGACCAGCCATCCTGCATGTATTCCCTCACACCCATTTGTTCCCTAAATCTCGTTTTTCCCTTTTTGTCCTGAAGAAGTTGGAGTCCGTAAGTTGCCGCGTTTGACAATCGAATGGATCTCTCTGTGAAAGCATCCGGTGGTTTGGTGTTGCATTCTTGGAACTGTTGTGATCTCTTAATTGTTGAATTCTATGGTTGGCAACTTTTTCTTTACTCCGGCTTTGATTTTTTTATATTGTTTTAATAGACTGGACTCCCAGTTAGGAAGCCGACCTCGTTTTGCATTGATACAGTTAAACCTGGTTTGGAACTGAGATGATTCTGAAAAAAGCTGGTATCAAAAAAAGCTAGGAGCTCTTTTTTGTGTTTGGTAAACATTTAGTTTCAGCTTTTTTTCACAGTTTTGGGTGAAAAAAAGCCAAAAACAAGAAGCTGCAAAACCCAGTTTTGAAAAATCAGTTTTTTTTCACATCTGTTTTACATAAAAGTTTACCAAACACTATAATACTGTTTTTTATTTTTTCAAAAGCACTTTTACAAAAAAATTTACCAAACACTCTATTGTTTTATTTCACAGCCGTTTATTCTCACAGCACAGCAGAATTAGTTTTTTTTCAAAGCACAGCAATACCAAACCAGCCATTATACTATTACTGTCCGATGTGCTTGAAGGATTGGGCCTATGCGTTTAGTTTTCATTTTTGTGGTTTGCCTCAACACAATGCATCGCTTCGCATGAGATTATTAGGCTTGTCGGTTTTTAACGCTCCTCTTTTAGCCTCTTGCACTCGTCCTGTTGGCAAGTTATAAAAGAGGAGTGTCAAAATCGCTACTCGGTAGATTAAGAACAATATTGGTGAGCTAAGTTTGAGGAACTGGTGGTTTGATTCATTAAGGTGTCCTTCTAGGCCCAAGTTGTAGCCAATTGTACTTGAAAAAATAATGTACCTTCCGGTTTCAACTTTCAAATGGTAGTGGGAGGCGTAAATTTAGAACTATAGTGTAATAGTAATTCTTTTACGGTATTTCTTTTTACTTGTGAGGTCTTAATTTCGATTTTCGTTGAAGGTAAGTTCAAACCAAATTATTATGGCTTGCCATTGTGGCATATCCTTAAGTCCCCAATCCTCTTAAGTGTAAATGTATTGTTATTTTAGAAGGGGGAAAAATTAGAGAAATGGCGCTACATATCTTTTCCCCGCCAAATGAGCAGACCTTTAAACTAACGCTTGCAACGAAACAATGACCAGACCAGAGATCCATGCGAGTACAATCTTTTCATGGAACGATTGCAAGAAATTAAACCGGAAAAACAAACCTAACGAATCTTCGAAAGAACAGGTTTCGAAGAAACAAGGCTCGGGGATGAACAGAACTCCGAGTAGAAGATACGACAGAGGCGGTGTAGTTTCAAACAATCTGAAGAAAGATGTGGTTGGTTCTGATCGAAGTAGATTCAAATTCAAATATATGTTGTACATTTGTAACATTGCAGTAACACAATCAGTACACAGAATTCCTCGACGAGTGATTACCCAAAGTAAACGTCCTATAGACCCACCGGTCTCGGAGGAAAATTCAGCATCGGGGAGGATAAAGCATACAATCTATTCTCTCAACGAAACAACGTCATAAAGGATGAAATCGGTTCCTAGCATCCACCAAGGCAAACTTATCTGCAGCTCTCGCATTAATAACATGCATTCGCTTCGCAGCAAGTCACGCCTTGATGGGCTCATATCTTTCACCAACTGCACCGCCTTTCTGCTTCTGGAACTGAATGTACCGCAGTGTGCTTTTAAAGAAAGCATCTGTAGATGGCTCTGCTAAGGCCGAGTCGCTTTGCAGTTCAGTTGTAACCAATTCAATCAGGCTTTGGACTGAAGCAACCGTTATCTGTGGGTTCCCCTTCTCGAAGAAATAGAGGTACCTGAAAACACAACAAAGTAAGGCCTTCTCTTTCCGCAATAGAAGAAACAGAAAAAATCGGCTTTGGCGTCAGCAACTATTACTTGTTCAGTATTTCAACAAAGAGCGTTACTGAACCGGTGCTACCCCGTGCAGCATTGGACATCTGTTGGGCAGCATTAGCGATTCGTAAAGCTCGCTTTAGGCAAATCAGTACCCTGGATAGCAAGTAAAAGAAAATTAAAACGAATTATAACCAAACAGAACAACAGCAGTTTCAAAGTATGAACCAAGGAATGGCTCCGCTAAGATTCTTAAACTCAGAAACCATCCCTTCACTCCTCTGTCCATTTCCACTTAACTCCTAACTGTCCTTCATACAGTTCTTTCACCGTGAACATATCCTTTCGGCACAATAAAGAAAACTGACATGACTTGCACAGCCATAAGCACAACTAAATGGGTTTAGTATAGAAGCCAAATGTTAATACAACACACCTTTCTCCATCCTTCATGCTCTCATGATCATCGACCCAGAAGAGATGTGAGCAAGCATAAACAGCTCGGCACTGATCAGCCTTCTTTAAAAGCTTTGCCGAATACTGGTCAAAGACAAGGCATTAAGTAAGGTTTTCAGTAGAAACGGACAGGCAGCATTATAACTAACGAAATTATGAAATTATGATTACCCCTGTGGCTTTGTGAGTTAAAGTATCCCTGTTCTCAACACCAAATACATGCATCCTCTGGAGAGTCCCGATTATCAGATGAATGGCAGTCACCTGTGCTTTCGAATCCTATTACACAAAATTCATGCAAACAAGAAAGATTATATACAATCCAGTAATCAGTATTCAAAAAGGAAAGAGTAGACACAATCCAGTGTTCCATTGAAATCTTTAAAAAAAAAAAAAAAATGAAACAGGTGAAGAGGCAACCAAATAGGGAAACTCACTGAAATTTCTTCTTCGTAAAGAATATATGCTTGGGTGAAGAATTCATAGGCAACGGGCTCCAAATCAGAGTCATTTGCAGCCTAATTAATGAAAAACAACAGGCATTAAAATTAGGGATAACATTCTTTAGGTCATGCCATTTATTTGAAGACTGAACATTTCAATGTACCTCAGCACATTGCAAATATAACCGTAATGCCAGTTCAGGTGCTGGAACATTCAACAAAGCCTCAATAGTCTAAAACAATAAACCAGAAGTGTTACTCAATAGCTAGAAAGATCAAAGTCTATGCTCAAACTGTGTAGGATATACGTAATGTGAGCTCTCTGAAAGCTTTCACTAGCATTTACCTGAGTCAAGAGCTGAAAAATTTTCTTTGGTGTGGTTGATGCATCGTCTCCAAATGGATTCTCATCCTGGGCTTGCAATTTCCTAACCAACTGCACATAACAAATAAAATCAGACAAACACCACCAAAAAGACCACCAATTCCATTACTCACACCATACTAGTTTGAGAAATTTCAACAACAAATCAATGAAAATAAAAAAAGTTGACTAGCATCAACACATAATGTGTCCAACTGTTAACATGATTTGGATAGACAGAAGCAAACCTTTAGAGAAGAGAAAACTAGGGGAGGGATAGTAAAGGGCAAACGCGTTGGTCCTCCAACCAGGATGTGCTTCTTCACAGTACATATGATCTGCAATTCAGTGCACGAATTGTGGCAAACATTAGGGATGAATGGTGCTCCAGTTCATGCAAAATCTCTTGAGAGAGAAAAATCAATAAACAAAGAGTAATCTACATGTGCTTCAATTTCTAAAATATATACACAACATGAATTTTCCACGAGTGATATTGCCATGTCAGCCAACACTAGGACCAGTATCCCATAAGCAGAGGTGGGGTGGCATGAAATCAAGGCATGAAAACTCACTGTCACATCAGTTCAAAATGCAAAAACCATTTTCAATTGCTGGTAACATTTTTCCATATATTAGTACAGAAACATGAGAAAACAATTAATTATGACTCAATTAAAACTTCAAGGGAGTATAACTCAGGAAGACTTTAGAATTAAATACTTGAGAAATCCTCACGGATACTCTTGTAAGGTAAGATTATAAAGACAGAAGGTATGCAGACATATGAAATAGGCACATGAATACCATACTCAAACATATCCAATACCTTAAACATCTCTTCGGGATCATCATTAGAAAACATTTGAATAAGTCGCGCAACTGAATTTTGCTCCTCCTTGAAATCTTCTTCATCAACCTAGAGTTGAAAAAGAAGATATGCTCACACCTCAAGTGTATAGAATCAGAAGAAAACGCACAATATTGTGGAAGCCTAGAGAGGAGCTTTACTATCATCAATACATGTATGATCGATAACACAGAAATTACCTCATCATTAAGAGTCCCATCCAAATCCTCAATAAGTCCTTTTATTAATTCAAACAAAGCCTCGACCTGTAAAAATTGCATTCCATGTCATTAAGAAGCAAACTCAATCGAAAGGACAAACCATTAGTTAAGCATACCTTCTCGGCAGTTAAAACATGAGTTGTATTTTTCATAATGCTCTGAATTATAACAGTAGCCATGACTTTATTTGTTCCACTATCAAGGAATTCCAGTACGCGAGGATAATTTGTAAGCTTCAAAGCCGTGACAATATCATTATATTTCTCAAGTGGAGCACTTAAAAGTGCAACCACTTGTTTTGTCGCCCTGCTGTCTTGAATTTTTCCTTTTCCAGAGAGTTTCTTAACAAATGAGCCCTGGTGAAAAGAAAATAAATGGAAATAATTACATATGTGGTGACCTTTTATAGAACAATATATATATATATATATATATATATATATATTGATCAATCAATTTAAATGATAAGATAAATCAAATCTGTGCCACCAGACTTGCAGCACAAGAAATTTATTTACAAGAACAGACTTTACTGGATTATATGTATAGCATAACGTGGAAAGTTACGGTTCATCCAATGTATATGCAAAGAAAAATTTGCAAAGGTTGGACTATCCAATTTCGGGCCACATGCAATTTGACCAATAAAATCTGTTTCACTTAGTATAACTTTGATGCGCATAGACGATAGAACTGAGCATAACTATGTTAAGAAAAGTTTGTCAAGGAAACATACCAACACTTGATCAGCATAATCAAGTCGATCAGGGTGCACATGGAGAGTGAATTTAAGAAGCGATGAATATAGAGTGACAACACCGATGATAGGCATGTCAACTTGTGCTTCAATCACCTGCATTGACATATTGTTTAAGTATCAAAACGAATGCAAACAAATACACAAAAACACAAATACCAAGACAGGAAAGCATATAGATGCAATGAACACTTGGTTACAGTTATACGTACTTATACTGCAGACAAACAAGGTCACAAAAAAGCTCTATGTGCAACCACTTGGTGATAGTAGATATGAAAAGAGATAATTCAAGCATGGCACAACCCTGAACTTAATCATCAATTTATTATACACTACGATTACCTTTCCAATAGCATTGCTCAGTTTTGAAAAAGCTTCTACTTGTAAAAACTCAGGCAATACTTCTGTACTTGAGGCAGCATAATTTGAAAGTCTTTCCATTAACTGGGATAGAACTGTCTTAATATCAACAGATGGCTGAAACAAAAAATGAAATTAGACAAGAATGGCAGAGAAATGTAATAAATTAAAAATACGATGATAAATATTATGAACACACAAAATACAAAGTTATCTAACATTCTTAATCAAATTTCAAACAAAAGACAAAAGGTTTTCCAAGATTAAGAGTATACCATAAACTATTTGACTATCATTAACTGATTTTATATATGAAGCAAAACACAAATGCAACATTCCATGTATCAATTCTCGGAGACATGATGCTCCATGCATCTTCCTATGAAACATTCAAAGCATTCCATATGGCTTAAAATGAGTGCAACAAGTCATAAAACAAAATGTAAAAAATCTCTTACAATAAGAAGGTACACTCCAAAACCAGAACAAATGACAAAAGCACCTTCAGTTTCAAAAGATCAATGCACAAAACCCCATAATGCAAAATAGAAGAAAAGTGACCTGAATAAAAAACAAATACAGGGTATTAATAAAATTTGTGCATATAATGTTACTGACCTGAAGTTGGGGGCAAGCACCCAACAATACGTCAAGAGTTTGCAAGTGGTACTCATCGGGAAAGACTTGAATTATGCAATCCATCAAATAAAACTGTGCAATCTCATCCTTACAATTGACAACCTGTTAAAAAAAGCAAGGTGATGAAGCCATTTTTTATGGTTAAGAGGTGGAAGTTACACATCATAAATATTAAAGGATCGATTAAAGATAAAACAGCATCAATCGGACCTGCTCCAGGACTCTGGGAAGCACGGCATCTTTGTACAAATCTAAATCAACACCTTCTATCTGGCTTAGGACGTGCAAGTTTTTACCAACCTAAAGGAACAACAGACATAGAGAAGCCTTCAGTAAGTGTACACTGCATATGCGCACAACAATATAGCAGTGAAATCAACCAGCTACCAGTTACTGATATTACAAGATCACGTAGCTCGCTCCTTTCTTTCTCCCGTTTCTCCTTTTCCCGGGCAGGTCCCTGCAGACCAGAAAGCCGGAGAGCAAGCCTCAACTCAGGATCAGCTAAGAGTATGAATGATTCAAAAGCACTACAACACCTGCATGACCAGAAAGCATGCCCTCATGACATATTTTTACCTTCATGACATGCAAGCATTGTGGTACCCGTGCATGTCTAAACCTGAGAGCTCTGTATGTAAGTATCAACCAACCTGATGTTGCATCCGCACCCAAAGTTTGTTCATCTCAGTGAAATTTTGGAGCACAAACTCAACAGCGTCCTTGACAGTGTCGGCATCTCTGGGCAAGTTAAGGATTATTGACAAATCAGATTGAATCAAATGAAAGAATACGATCATACACAGAAAATAAACATAGGAATGAATATCTGATTTCCTTACCCTTCATATTCAGAACCAATATCAGGCAATTTGTCCCTACTCACTTGAGAAAGGTAACTCCTTAAGAATAGCCCACGTACAGGATTCTGAACGCCACGGGACATTTCAACGAGATCTTTTAGGACATCCTTAGCAGGAGCTTCCTTAGATTTGATGTACACAGAACCTACTGTACAGAGAAGATACCTAATAGAGATCATAAAATTCACTTATAAGCCACAGAAATGCTATAGCTATGCCTTGTTCTTCACTTAAGATAAATTCGATGCACTCAAAGGAACACCCTGAAAGGACATAGCGTCCAACTTATAATTGTATAAATCTACATTACAAAGACATTGATAATAGATCAAATCATGAATTGTAATTTCTGCTTAATTTTGGGTCTTTTTTCGATAAGGTTTAGTATTAGAGAACTTTTCAAATTGCAGCATGTTAACGATTTACAATCAGAATTACAGTATCTGAAGGAATACGACCGCAATGCCAACTAGGTAAGTAAGGCATTATGTGCAGCACAGTTCATTAACAAAAACAAATTGGATTATCTCCCGGGGACTTTAAGTGAACTACGAAGTCAAAACCTAAATAAAGCAATTGATACATGTGCAATTGAAGATTAATTAACATAATTAAGACTTACAATCTAGGCAATATGTTGCCGGCGTGCTGAACAAGCTCATAGAGATCAATAATGGAGCAGCCGCGCCGAGCCTCCTCCTTGAAGAACATTTCCAATTTCCTCAATTCGTCAAACGCCCGCATATCTGAGGCAATTCAAACCACAAATCGGTGAAATCACCATCCACAAACTCGCAAACATTCGGCATTTACGAAAATGCAAAAACGAAGCAGAATCAATTTCCAAATCCCTCCGGATCGATGAGAAGTAATCAAAACTTACAGAGTTCGTAGTACTTGTGAGGGGAAAGCTTCGAGGTCCGGAGCTCCGAAAGCATCTGAGCTGAGTACTTGAGCGCGTCTCTGAGATTGTTCGAGTCCTGATTGAAAAATTTGCAGAAAAATTGAACGAAGGAAAACAATTTCACTGAATTTTCAGCGAACAAAAAAATTGGTAGAAAATTGGAGGGAAGAAGATCGAGGGTTTGTTTGATTGACTGATTGAAGAAGTTACCAGAGCTCGGTGCATATAGAAGGCGTTCTGTTGGAGGCCGGCGATTCCAGCTGCCAGCCATTTCTCTTCATCTTCAACTCCGTTCGAGATCATCTTCTCTCTCTAGCTCTCTCTCTCTCTCTCTCTCTCTCTCGGTTGCGTTTTGACCATACTGGTTTTGGCCACAACTGTCTGGCCAACTCGAGGTCTGTTTGGATCCGGACCCGATATCATGGGTCGGTTAAACTGGTTAGGGGTCAGGCCTAACATAACCAGTGATTCAGGCTCGTGCCTGTTTGGGCTTTATTTAAATGGGCCGAGCACGATTCGGCCCGATCTCTTTTGTTTTCTTGACACAAACAATAGTCGAGTGTAAGAATTGATGTTTTAATCAAGTGAGATACGAACCACTTGCAAATGTCCAATTTCTTTAAATCATCTAGTTTCATAAGTGCTTTGATGCACTTTTGGTTTTGTAATTCTCAAATTGGGTGCATCCGAATCAAATTTGACATTTAAAATTCTGAAATCCAAACATGTAGAGACTAGAACGAAATTGGAATGTATATTTAAATCTTTTTTCCTTTTTTGGATTAAAAGACTCTTTCTATTTGAAAACAATATCATCGATTCAACTTATATAAAATGATATATAGTCGATATTTTAAATCATAAAACTCAAGTCCCCTTGGCACATCCAATTAATTCAAGATATTTCAATTTTTTTTAGTACATCAGTATTTTTACACTGGGAGGAGGGAGAGTTCGACTAAGGCACACAATAGACAACCTAATTTGGTATTGAATTCATCATCCACGAGATTTGATACTAAGACCTCTTACTTCCAAGTTAAGAAAAATATCACCAGACCATAATACTGAGTGGCAAAATATATTTCAATTGATATAATCACTTTATGCAAATATGACTGCAAATGAATTTGCTACTTAACGACAATTACATGAGTTGTTAAGCATAGTTTACTAATATCCCCAATAATGTCATTTGTCATTTATTAGTTAAAATCCAATATGTATGAGTTAAAAATCCATATGATCTAACAAATTTTCCTAATAATGTGATTTTTTGTTGACCCCACACTATTTTTTACCTTTCACAATTTTTGTCATTTTGATCATCTTCAGTTCATTTCAATGAACGAAAATTGTAAAGATTGAAAAATGTGTAAAATATAAAGCGAAGTGTTGATAGCGCCACCCAAAACTAAAACATCTAACGCAGCGACGTTGTACCCGATTAGAGCCAAAGTGCCAACTACCAAAAACCAATAGAGAAATGCCGAAAGAGTTGAGAAAAAGGAAATGATATTATATTCGATTCAAAAGAATTGCAAAGTTTGTGATACATCAATATGCCATCTACCCTACAAAAACAAATCTTTTCATTCCCCAAATCTCTGCCGTTGCTGTTTTCTCAACCCAACCGGGAGTCGCTCCAGGCACGAGAGAGCAAGCAAACCAACACCACCAAAGCCGGAAACAACCTCTTCACACCTTCAGTACCGAAAAACTATCAAATACAAAGTTCACTGGCGCTTTCAGCTCCTCACTTGTCAATCTTCCACTTTCCAGGCGGGGGTTTAGAACGGTACTGTGTATGGCAATGCATATATATCGGACTCCGGGAAGAGGCGAGCACATGGCCAAGACGTTGCGTCACCATAGCTCAGGCTGTCACTGACGACTGTAGGTTTCTCAACGCCACAATTCCATTTTGTCTTTGCCTCAAACCATCCCTCATCGTCGACATCCATGTGAAGACATTGTGAGAGAGGAGGTTGAACCCAGTTTTCAATTAGCTCTCTGTATTGTGAAGGAAGAGAACCACTGCCAGACTTTCGGTGTTTTTCTTTACCACGCCTGGAAGAGCGTTCATTGCTAGCATTTCCAGAAGTAGCGCACGGATGCTGTCCCTCCTCTATGCCTTGTTTAGGAGCAGGTTCTTGCAGTCCTTCAACAAAGGCATTATCTGTCCTTCCTGAGGAAGAGCAAGGCTGTTCTTGGCTGGGTAGCACTTCTGGACCTTTGGGCCTTTGGAGGAACAACCGGGAAGGCTGTTCCTGGCTGGGGAGAACATCTGTACCTTTAGGCCTTTGGAAAGAAAACCTGGAAGGCTGTTCCTGGCTGGGTATAACTTCTGCACCTTTTTGCCTTTGGAGAGACAACCGGCAAGGCTGTTCAGGACTGGGTAGCACTTCTGGATCTTTGTTCCTTTGAAGAGACAACCGGCAAGGCTGTTCCTCTTTGGGTAGCACTACTGGATCCTTGTGCTTTTGGAGAGGCAACTGGCAAGGTTGTTTCTCTCTGGATAGCACCACTGGATCTTTGTGCGATTTGAGAGGGAACCGGCAAGGCTGCTCCTCACTGGGTAGCAGTTCAGGATCTTTGTGCCTTTGGAGAGGCAACCGGATCCGAAGAATGCTTGCTTCAAATAATAATACATTTTGAAGGAAGAATATCAGTGCCCATGAGAAGCTAACAAACCCAACAGGCAAACACCCTTCTCCCAAGTAAGGAAGAAACATAAGAGCACTCACCAGAATTTTGCCTGCCATCAGGGGGAGAGTCCTGCTTCTGCCTTTTGTTGCTGTTAACGGTGCTATCAGAAGAGTTCTGGGAACCAACGGGTTGCTCATGTTCTTCAGTAAGGTCACTCTTGTCAAGGTTTTCCGTTTCATGTTTTCTCTTCTTTCCATTGTCTGTACCTTTCTTGTCTTCTTGTTGCCTTTCAACTTTGTGCCTTTTCTTATGACTCTGCTTCTTATTTTCAGGCTCCCCATTTTTTCGAGCCTTCTTTTCTTTCTTCTCTCCTTTTTTCTCCCTCTTCTTTTCTTTCTTGGCCTTCTCATCTTCTCTTTGGAGCTTCAAATAACAAGAGTAACCATCAACTTTTGAACTCATTGGAAAAGTTTAAAATACTGTCACAAAAACAAGCATTCCAAAGCAGACCAAAAATTGTTGGATAAAACATAACATCCTCATTAGATAATAATGGAAATCAATAAATCAACATTGAAGACAACCAATGCGGATGATCTATGACGAGAATTTTGGTTATTAAACTATTGTTTTCTCTGTATACAATGTATTAAAATCGTGAGGCGTAGGTGAGGCGTCCGAGGGCAGCCCAGCCTAGGCGTGAGGTGAAGCCTCACAAGACCTAAATGTTTTAATATATACACTGAGCATACACATATATTATATTAAAAAAAAAATTATAATCAATAATCATCCTGAGCACACACATATATTATAAATATATATACACATATATATATATACATATATTATATATATATATAATAGAGGATGAAAAGCTCAATGAGTACACATATAACAATGCATGTAGGCGGCACACACAACCTTTATATAAAAAATAAAAATCAGAAAACAAGGCAGAGAGATGATAGTGCAAGGAAGAGGTATGAGGTAGTTAAAACCCTACCCAAATTTTGGGTTTGGGAATATTAAAAAAAAAATCCCCTGAGGCCCGCCTAGGCAGTTCCAACGATGCCTTCCGGCGCCTTACACCCACTCCCTCAAAACAGAGGCGTCAACCCTCAAGCCCAACCTCACAGGGCGCCTAGGCGCACCCTGAGGCGAGCCTTTTAAAACATTATCAAGTGATAATTGAATTTTCATACATGTTCATGACATCGATAACAGAGTCAGCATTCCAAAAAAATACCTAAATCAACTTTTTCACACATGCTATAGACTGCACTCTTAACTTTGCTGCATAGAAATCAGCACCAATCATAGCCAACAACTAAGGTGAAACTTAAGCAATTATGCCTCAAGGAGGACTCGAACCAAAAACTACATGGATTCCCAATTACGCCTTGGAGAGGACTTGAACCTCCACGCCCTTAAGCACAAGACAGTATTGAGTCTCACGTGTCTACCATTTCCACCACCAAGGCATCTTCAAGCAAACTGCACTAAAAGAAAAGGAGAACTTGAATCCTACAACATATGCCACACCTGAACACACCAGGCTCAAGGTGCTATTTATCTGACCCTACCATCTATGAAATAACCGGTCAAATAAACTAAACCTGCGCTTACCCAAAAAATCTACTATAGTACAAAACCCAAAGCTGTAATTGCTTAAGTTTCACCTTAGCAACCTTTCAGCATTATGACTTTCTAAGGACACACTTGAATTCAAAGGTCACTTCCTAATCCACTACAGTGCAAACTCACTCTTGGTTATGTGTTGCCGCTTCAATCTTGAGTATGTAACTCAGAGAGAAGTGAGAACTAAAATGATCTTCAAGCAGCCAGCACATAGTAGAATATGTACTTGACCATCTCAAATCATTCATCTCATATGCATAAGCAAGAATGTCAAGCAATCTCATCTAACACATCCCAAATCATTTTCACTAATCTGCCACACAATACAATCTCAATCCCAACCTAACAAGACTCTGAAGGTGCCTGTAAAAGTATCATGTTTTGTTGTTTGAATCAAACAACACGACAATGTGAAAGCCTAGTACCAAGAACAGGTACCATCGCTCACACACGTCAAGCACACAACTAAAGCCATAGGAAGGTTTTACAAGTACCATTATCAATTCCTAAAAGGAAGACAACAGACACTGATGTGCCACATGCATGAACACAAGCTACAACACTGCAGAACCAGCTCAGCTTGCAAAAAGAAGGCCAGGAATTTGTGTTTCTATAGCATTTTTCTATCACAAATGGATGTAAAGTTTCCGCACACGCTAGAGTCCAGTGGCAAACAGAACACTCAACCACTCAAGAATTCATGTCAGGGTCTCAAAACCTAAACCAAAGTTTCCGATTTTGGCCAATCAAAATCGGCTCAAGCCAACAAAAACACAGGAAGTGAAATTACGTTTTGTAACGATTAATGGCTTCTATTTGTTTCTATGGGGAACTAAAAAGTGTTGTCGATTGTACAACCCGTGATTCAGCTCTCGAATTCACCCCATTTCCAATTTTTTCTCTCTATGTTCTTACTTTTTTCAGGGCATTTTATGGGTTCTCTTATCTACACAAAATATGATCATACGAGAGCTGAACAAACGCATCAATTAACGAACCGAATCGTACAGTACACGTCGAGCACAAATCCAAAAACCCATAAAGCAAGGATTGCTCAACAAACCTTAATCGAATCGATCAGGGCCTCATCGTGGATCCCCTTCTTCACGTACCCAGGAGGAGGGTACGGAAAACACCGAGACATTTGTGATCCAGCAGCAAACCAACCAACCAACACACAAAGCGAATCGAGTCCGAAACAATTCGATTTTTCTCAAACCCTAGCTCGAACGAGGTCGCTTGCTCGCAATCGACTGCGGCTAGGGTTTCGATACTTGTTTCGATCCTTGTTTCGGAACACAAATGTCCCGCGCGCAGACAAAGGTTTGAGTAAAAAGGGAGGGAACTCGATCTAGGGTTAGGGCTTGGAGGTGAACGAATCGCTCGAGAGCGAAGAGCTTTGGAACAGGAGAGAGAAAAGCCCCAGATCCAATTGGTGAGCCACGACCACAAACAGCGGTATTTATAGTAGGGATTCCTCTGGCTGGCCGACGCGTTTTGGGCACCACAAAATCAAACGACGTCGTGTGCGCGAAGTGTGGCTGTGAAGCAAGGGATCGTCTCTGTCACTCCCAGACCGTTTACTTTAGGAATATAATTAGCCCAGTCCAACTTAATTGCTATCCCAATTCAGCCCAGTATCTTTGGGCCTAAGCCACTTATTACAAATGAACCCAGTTTTACGGTCCATTTGTACAGACAAGTATAGACCGTTGAATTTGATCTCAATGATTGTAACCAAATCAATTAAAAAATACTTACATTAAAATTGGATCATAAATAATCCATCAACAACAGTTCTTTTTTTAACTAAAAATTTTTCGTTTTTCGGCAACAGTTAACTCTTCACTAATCATATCGTTTTCATTGCCCTAAACTCTCTTGTAAACGATTTCAAACAATTTCAATCACCTTACACATCATCAAAATTGTTTAGTGTTGAAAACTCTGTTAAAGTTGTCCAGTGTCTGTCGCCTCCGACACAGCTTTCTAACAAGATGAACTCATATGAGATGATAACACACACAATGGTGCCATAAGACCCAAAATTTTCCCTCTCTCTGCCTTCTTCACACATCAGGCAAACTTTTTTCATTTCCAAAACACGCTTAAGCAATTTTTACAGCGACTATTCAAAAAAGTGCTACAAAATTTACAAGTTGGAATTGCAGCATATCATTGGACTACATGACGACACACGCATTTGGATTCTCGTCACTAAACGCCGTCGTATACTTCACTTCAGTGGAGCTTGCACGTGCGAGAGCCGATGCCTCCGGATCCTCCAGCACGTTCCGCACGTACCCAGGTGGGGCCTTCTTGTCATAAGCCTCCGGCGCGTAGGGATGCGGAACGACATCGTACGGCACATAAGGCCAGAGCTCAGCCTTCTTCCCCGTTCGATGCCTAACACGATGCAAGACTTTGTCGGGGTCCACATAGCCAATCACAGTGAGCTTGCTCTGCTTGGGGTCCACCTCAACCTCCGTGACTCCTTTCATGCCTTGCACTGATTTCTTCACTCTTCTCTCGCACCCTTCACAGTCCATCTTCACTTTAATCTCCACCGTCTGATATAAAAATAACAATAAAAATAAATTAAAAAAGAAACAAAATGCATGGTTACAGACTAATATTGCATCCAATGGGTTTCTATCCAGTTGGTACTAAATTCAATTTAACTTTTATAAACAAAAAAAATAAGTTGGGGTTAGGGATTTGAAATAGTTCAGAACGAGCTACAAGTATATACTGTCAAACCTAATATCTTTTTTTTTATAATAAAAAATATACTAAATTCTGATGGATCAATGATCAATATTGAATTCGTGATAAGAATCCAATTAATTAAAAAAACGGAATAATTATTAAAGAATATTCCCTGTACACTTTAAAGCGCAAGTGACTCTAATAGTAAATAGATCACTTATACCAATAAAAATATAGTAAGTCGAGCATACATCGTATTAGTGTCAGAGTATCTTCTACTCAAGCATCATGTTTGATTCTTCCTCTCCAACTATCGTTATACAATAGACAAAAAAATATATGCATCGATTGACCACATATAGAGTATCGCATGTACTTGAGCATCGTGTTCGATTCTCCCCTTCTAACCATCGTCCTTGCAAACGATGAAGTAAAAAAATATACGAAGAAGTGGGAATATAGCAGCACTTACCTTCAATTGCTTGTTCTTTTTGAGCTTTTTACTACTACGATGCCACTCTCCAAGCTCAGAGACTTTACTGAGAAAACCCATTGCCAAACATACGTGCAAAGATAAAACCAGAAAAAGTGGGACAATGCTGCTTACGAAGTTGTAAAACCCTAAAGTTTGCCTTAAAGGTTGCAACATATATATACACATCAGCATGACCCTCCAGGCTGTGCTGTGCGTGGTAGCTGTAGATGGTTGGCACGTGTCTCTTTATAAATGTGGAGTAATCTAGAACCTACACGTTGTTGCTGGGCTGAGTTTGGGCTTATCACATTTTTGGGTTGAGTTTCATGGCAATCTACAAACAGTGCAGAGACTACAAAACTTCTAGTTATTCCCCTGTGCAATATAACGAGGCGTCCTATCTACATTTTTTTTTTTTTAGTAAACTGTCAATTTGTTCTCTGAACTATTACTAAACTTTTGATTTCTCCCTTGAATTTTTTAATTGGAAAATTAAGGACTTAAACTAATTTTTTTGGCCAATTTCCCCCCTACCGTTAATTTTTCATAGATTTCATCCAAATTAACGTTAACTTTTATCATGTGCAAATCACGTAACTCTCCTTTGTGGAGAAAAGTATCACTTCACTAGACCTTCAGACACAAAAACTATAGAATCACACATATTTGCATAGGTTTATATTATAGAAATCTAAAGTTTTCAATTAGTTTAAAGAATGAAACGACCGAACTACCCACATTTATTGTGCACATGCTACCATTTAATAGAAATTTGGATGGAATGAATGAAAAATTAACAGCAGGGGCAAATCGGCCAAAAAATTAGTTTAAGTCCTTAATTTTCCAATTAAAAAGTTCAGGGGGAAAATCGAAAGTTAGGTGGTAGTTTAGGAGGCAAATCGACAATTGACTTTTTTTTTTTTTTTAAGTAATGAAAAGGGTTTCAAAACTTTAAGTTTTAACAAAAAAATTATTCTATAACTGTATTTAATGATAAAGATAGGAGAAAGAAGAAGAAGAAGGAAAACAAAAAAACACCTAACTAAAGACACCTGCAAAGAGCACCCAACCAATCCTTCAATTGCATAACCCTTTGACATAATCCAATCATATTTTATTCATCTAAAATTAAAATGTCAAATTGAAGTGGGTTCCGTTTGATTCAGAATCACATATGAGGCGGTATAGTTATGAGGGAGTCAGTCAGGTGTGAGTTAGGATGGTTAGGGGTCATCATTGACAACATCGTTGGACTCATCACCCATTTTTCTAGTAATGGTATTTAGCTATTGGCTATGCATGACTTTAACGGCGTGGACGTTGATCTCTATCAATTTTTGTTTTAATCTTTTTATTGCATTATGGTAAAAGAACTTGAAAATCTGGAATGAGCATCTACCGTTAAGTTTCATAAATTCTGTAGTATCGTTAAGTTTCATAAACAATGTAGAAAGTTTCATTAATAGTGTAGTATCGTTAAGTTTCATAAACATTGTAGTACTGTTAAATTTCATAAACAGTGTAGTATCATTAAGTTTCATAAACAATGTAGTAAGTTTCATAAACAGTTTGTGTGAGGGCACGCAGGTCCGCATGTCAATTTTTTTTATTATTTTAAATATTAAAATTATGTTTTTTTCATTAAAATTTAAGTTTTTTTGTTCTTTTTATTAAAATTTAAGTGTTTTTTTATTAAAATTAAATTTTTTTCATTAAATAAAGTTATAGCATGATTTTTTTATTAAGATAAACTTAGTCAAATTCCTTTTTATGAAAGTTTTCTTTTTTATATATATTTTTAATAATTTTTGTTCATTGATTTTTTTAATTTACTTATTTTCATGATTTAAGATTGAGAAAAGATAGTAAATGATAAAAATGGGCATGGGTAGTAAGGAGTGAGGTTTGGATTTCGAAGTGGTAGTATTGAACGCGTAGGACGCGTAAGTCTTCAATAGTCCAGTTTTATATTCATTAAATTGGTAAATAAGAAAAAAAGATAGTACTTCTTCAATAATTTAATTTTTACGTTTATTTTCTGGCTACTGAGTAGTCCGGAATATTAAAAACTAAATAAACGTAGGACATATTGTATAACATTAAAATATAAATACTATTTGAACTTTTTAGAGAAACTTTGGCGAGTTACTAGTTCTTGCATGGATGAAGATACATTAGGGTTCTTTAAATTTGTTGGGCCCACTTTAAATTTTTGTGTACCCACCATTTTAGGGCCTCCAAGTGTCCGCCCTGGGCTAGGATTGGCTTTGTGTTAATATCAAGGTTTCAAATTTTGCAAAATTGTATCCTCAAATGGTATTAACCCAATATGTTTAACTTGGAAATTTTCGCAGGCGACCCTCTTTCACGGTGATAGAGAAGAGTTTTACTCTTGCATCATGGCGTGGTTTCGAACGTCGTCAACTCTTTAATCTAACATCTAATCTAATAAATTTATGATCTGACAAAAAAAAAAAAAAACTAGGAAATCTCCATCCAAATTTTCGAAAATGCTTAGACCTCGAAATTATTGTTAAAATATGAATTTTCAATCCAACTAGAACAGTTGTTAAGCTAAATCCATTATGGAAGATATTTCAGTTGCGTCCCTTTGGTGCTTAACATGGAACAACAATATCCGCGCACAGGAAGAGCAAATTTCATACAAAAATACTCATAATTTAAGGAACCTAGAAACAAAAATTGCAGGAAGAACTTACCTTTGTTGCTGTCGAGGGAAGTTGAAGAGAGGAAGCAGTTCAGGTTTAAATTAAGAGAAATAGCATTTTTCGTGTAATTGTACTCTCAGCGAGGTTTGAATTGCAGCAGTCACTAATTTGTGTCGACCAAGAGCTTATTTAGCAAGTGTTTTTAAATGAATAAAAACGTTTGTAGAGAAGATATTTTTGAAACTGATTCTTAGTAAAAATACAAATTAATCATGGGAAAAACACTTTAAGTGTTTTTAAAACCTAAATTTTTTTTTTTCTAAAAGAGCTTTCAATTGTTTAGAATCACTTGTCCCAAGAGAATATCTGCGCATGGGTGCTATATGTGAAAATTTATGTAGGTAGAGCCTCGACTCCCTTTCCTGTAATTTTGGTCATCCTGACCTTCCCGTGTACGTTGAATTAAACCAGTCTCCGTCTAACAACTACTAAAAAGTAAATACATCTTCTGTGCAAATATCTAACTACCTACTCACGTACGCTTATGCTTAAAAGGCCTTCAACATGCGGTGTATTTTCATCCACTTAACACAATGAACTTTCTCTCCCAAAAACTTCTTCCTTCATCGAAATCTTCTCTCAAATTTCTTTCGGTCGTTATAGTTTTGTTCTTTTACAGCCATGCTGCTGCTGTGAAACTACCAAACAACGAAAAGATTCCGGCACTGATTGTTTTCGGAGATTCAATAGTGGATCCTGGAAACAACGACAATATTGGCACTATAGTCAAATGCAACTTCCCACCTTATGGGAGGGACTTTATAGGAAAACGGCCTACTGGAAGGTTCAGCAATGGCAGAGTTCCCTCAGACTTGATAGGTAAATCTAACTACTGTTGTCGTTGTTTTTAGATTTTACGGCTGCTGGCTTAACCAAACTGTAAGAAAATTAACCCGTTCCAAACTTTTCAGCTGAATCAGTTGGAGTGAAAAATATTTTACCAGCTTATTTGGATCCAAATGTGAAGATTGAAGACCTACTTACTGGTGTAAGTTTTGCCTCAGGTGGTTCAGGATATGATCCTCTCACTCCCCAAATTGTGGTAAATAATTATTATATCTTCCCATCTTTTACTATTTGATATTTGATACATCCTTGGTTTCTGTTAATTATGCTTCTTTCAGTCTGTCCTATCATTATCAGATCAACTAGACCTGTTCAAAGATTACATACGCAAGATAACTGCAGCAGTGGGGGAGGAGAGCGCGGCAACTATAGTATCAAAAAGCATATACATTTTGTGCATAGGAAGCGACGACATTGCAAATACTTATTTATCTACACCAGTGAGGAGACCTTACTATGACATTCCAGCGTACACCGATCTCATGATTAACTCGGCTTCAAGCTTCTTACAGGTAAACGTCGAAGAATTGCAAAGGTCAGCATGGGAAAATGAATTTTTCGTTCTTGAAACTTTGCTTCCAAGTAACTGAGATCAAGGATTAAAGTGTGCTTTACTTTTTGCCCTTATTTTAATGTGGGAAAAAATGGGGCTGCAGGAACTTTATGGACTCGGAGCAAGAAGAATTGGAGTAATAAATCTGCCGGCAATCGGGTGTGTGCCGTCACAGAGAACACTGGGTGGAGGCATAAATAGGGATTGCTCCGAGACTGCTAACCAAGCGGCCCGCCTCTTCAACTCCAAGCTCTCGGCCAAAATAGATGCCTTCAATAAGAGGCTTCCACAAGCGAGGGTTGTCTACCTTGATATCTACTACACATTGCTTTCCCTCATACAAAACCCTACTCAATATGGTAAGATCGTCATATTTGTTTAATTTCAAATTAGTGATACATCAACTAAGTTTACGGGTAATGTTAAACTGTGAATCTAAGGTACTTATACATGGATTCAGGATTTGAAGTGGCGAATAAGGGCTGCTGTGGAACAGGAAACATCGAGGTTAGCGTCCTGTGTACTCGTTATTCTCCGGGAACCTGCAATGATTCATCGAAATACATATTCTGGGACAGCTATCATCCCACAGAGAAGACATATGAGATCCTTGTCCCTCTGGTTTTCGATACGCAAATTCGTAAATTCTTCTGATCATCAGCTTCTCAGTCTCTCACGTCTCAAGTTTCAAGTCTCAACAATCAATAAATTGGCAAGCCAGCTTAATGTGTTGTATTTCTACTATTCTGTATTGTCTTCATTGTCGTACTTTTCGATTGTATTAATGTGCACAAAATTGTTAATACAATCTTACGGTGTGTGAACAAAAAGATGAAATATGGATTTACAGCCTTCAGATTTGTACGTAATAAACGGATTAGAAATCCAATTTCGAAAAACATGTCTTGTGAGCCAATTAAGGTTCCAAAGAGATTCACCCTCATAATCTGCAACGTGTTGGTGCATTTTTTAATATTAAATGAATAAATTATAATTGTCATTATATGTCGTTACTTAGTGGAAAATTAAGATGATCGTCATTATTTGTTGTCAGTGAGAATTAAGATGGGAGTCTTTAACCTTTCATATAATGTAGCTCTTATAACTTTTGTTTTGTTAATTTGTGTTTATTAAACTTAAAGTTAGTAGCATTCTCCATCATCTTTTCATTTATTATCCACCACCCAATCTGTTCTACAACTATTATTCTTCATTACTCCATCTTTTTCATTCTACTTATTGGCCAAAGAAGGGTGTTCGTGTGAGCTTTGGACTCTTCCCTTTGTGTAGATAGGTTTGAATCACACAACATTTCACTTGGGTTGTTTTGGAGGGACAAGTCAAAATATATACTGTAACAATTCATGGATAAATTATTAAACCTTAGTGGGCTTGAATCTTCTCAAAGAGAACAAGATATCCGTACCTCAACCTAGTTGTCTACATGCTTCTTAGAAAAATATAATAATGTCCTTGTAATTTCCAACACAACATTTTCAATGTGGTTGAAATATTCAAATATACATACCTGTAAAAATAGTTGACATAAATATGTAATTTCCGTCGTTTCATAATTTGATTATCGGATTAAAAATAATTGACAGTATAAATTTATAACTTTGTCATTGTAAATACGAACAACATCCATATTGATCTGCATTATCGGATTCAATTATATGAAAACCGGCTTATCAATTATTTGATTTGACCTAAAAATTATTACACAGAACTAGAAGGAAAATGATCCTCGTCAAATCTTTTTTTTTTGGGGATTCAAGAAATTTCATAATCATGGTCGTTTATTATACATCATATGGTCAAAAATCATTTGAAATTTAAAGTTTAAAATTAAATATAAATAGTACATAACGAAAATTGATAATACAATGTACGATGAATGATCATTATTAAGGGATCCTTTTCTGAACTAGAACAAGCGACCTCCCTCTTCGACAAAAGTGAAGGTTGTCTTTTGGGTATTCTGTCCTAATCGTGTCCACAAGATGGAGTTGACTGCCATGTTTCATAATTAATTAATAGAATGGTCAATAATTGTCCTTTGTTTGGTGCTCGTGGAGTTGCAATCAGTATAGTTGACAGGAATTGAAAATACGCATAAGGCCTTCATATTACGTCAATTGAGAATATTTACTAATTAGCCATATATTAATAGTTAATTTTTGTTTTGGATATAAAAGTTATAAATTTTTATAATAATTATACATAAATCAATGAAACATATCACATGATTTAAACTAGTTAGAAAATGACTAATCTATCATTCTCTCAGTTCAATTTATTGATTTTATGCTCTCATCGTTCTCTCTTTTGTGTTTATCTACTCCCTTTTATCTTAGCTTTCCTTCCCCTTTCTATCTCTTCACTCTTTCCCGTCCTCCTCTCTTCCTATGTCTCTCATCTTCTCTCCGATGAAGAAGAAGAGGTCATTGCCCATTGGTGACGGCGAGTAGAACTAGATCCCAACTGCTCAATCAATCAGCGACCACAACATCGTAATTGACACAATTCTTTCTAGAACCATCAATGACCTCAACGAGACTGTAGGGCGGATGGTGCGGCGTGGTTTGGGAATGAGTGGTCACATATCAATTGTTGTGTCGAAAAGAGTTTCTAGAAGAAAGCTTGTTGAGGCTAGGGCCGCACAAGTGGAACTTGAGTATCGATGAGGTTTAGAAGACGTCATAGAAGGATCAAATCTGAAAAATTCGTGCTTTGAATTTTAGGTCATTTTTGCTACTGAATTTTGTAATTAAATTTGTGTTTGGAATGGTGGAAGGCAAAATCCATAGGAAAATAGGACTACAAAAATAGAAACTGCATTGCAGAGTCTGAATTCAAATGTAAAAGTAGAACAAAAAAATAGACAATTATTGCACAGCTTGGATCCAAATATAAAAACAGAACCAAAAATATACACTGCATAAAGTCTGAATTCAAATGTCAAAGTAGAACCAGAAACATACACGACATTGCGTAGTCTGAATTCAAAATAGAAACCAAAAATGGAGACGGCATCGTGGAGTCTTTAAATGTAGAAGATACATAAAAAACAATTAGTTAATTCAGAGTGTAACAGATAACAGAATGGGAATAGTTTGGTAAGATCCCTTAAAGTTTTTGTACTTCATATCAACTGTCATACGATGTTATGTAATTCTCCGCAGGTTGCTATGCAGAAAACGACAATTAAAAGAAGCTCCCCCAACGATTCCACCATACTCTTCTTGTGACAAGCCCCAGAACAAACATAGTGTCGGCATCGATACAACCATTATCACATTCGGACAATAATCAACCATAACATGTTCCATAGCTGCGGACAACAGAAAATTTTTCTTTTTCTTGATAAAAAAAAAAATAACGTCTTCATAATTCACGATCCAGCTTAGGAACTTTTATGCTCTTTTTAGGGTCAAAACTGAATGTTCCAAGGTGTTATATTTCCATGACCACTTAACCACCATGACCGCAGGGAATAAATCGAGATTTCAGCCCAAGTCGACCTTATCATAACCCCTAGTACTCCAACAAACCTGGTCGATGCCATACACTCTAAAAACACTAAAAATTCCAATAAGTTGAATACCTTTGTCTTTGGGAATGATTCGGGCAATCGTCCTACGACAAGCTGAGAGAGCGGAAGTAACAACCGAGTTATATTGTTCCCCCATTTCCTTCTTTGACATGAATCAACCAACCCCTTTCATTTGTAGTTTGTGCGAGATGATAGACTACGCTCTTGTTGAGGTCACGAATCAGGGTTTTCGATGCAAATTTAGACAGGGTATTTGAGTGGTTTCTCAAAGGGAGGAATAGAACCTGCCATCTCTTGCACTCCATGACAGTAGAGATGCTGGAGTCGAAATCTGCCTGATCTGCACTGGCCCTGTAGAGCTCTAGTTTATTTACTAGATGCGATCATGTGACTTGCTTCTTTTCTGTTCGGCCCCATTTTTCTTGTAAGGTTTAAGTTCAATAACCCAAGAAAAGGGGTTATAGGGTTAGTCCAACTCCAACTCCTCCAACACCAACGTCGTCTTTTTTCTTATACAGATGCCGAATTTCTTAAACTTTTTGCATTGCGCAACTCGCTTGTCGACCAGTGCATAAAACACTGCGTTTGCAAGCATTTACATTGCGGACTTCGCACTTGAGTAGTTTCCCTCCTGTTTTTTTATTATCTAAAGAAGGGGATTTGAAGTTAAGATCTCGCCGAATTAAAGAGTTAGTTGGTCACACAATCAGTTTATATATCAATATTTATATTTTCCTTTGTTGTATAATGAGTTGAGCTATTTAAGGTTGTGCTATATGTACAACTACAAATTTTTATTTGGAAAACTTCGACTGTATAAGAGAAAGTTTATTAAATTCGAAAAAAAAAGTTATACCTAGTTAGAGATACATAAAATTACCCCTCATAATACCAAAAAAAAAAAACAAAATAAAGTGAAAAATATAAGAAAAGAGGAGAAACATAAACCTGACCTCTCTTAAGCTAACAAATAAAAATACAAGAAAAGAAGGGGACGTAAAGCCTAAAACCCTCTATAAAAAAATCTAGAAGATCTAGACTTGTAAAACAAGTTGCAAAACACCAAAGTAATATGCTAGAAAAAAAAAAAAAAAAAAAAAAAACAGACATCATAAAAGAGGAAAAACAAGTTGCAAAGCACCAAAAGCAATACGTACAACAACAATATTTGGATAGTTTGTTCCACACTTATAGATGCTTAGAGACTAAAGTTAAAAATCACACATTTGCTTTATAACTATATGACAAAATTGGATCACTAATTCCTAAACTTTAGTTGAACTTGAGTTTTAGTTCTTGAACTAAAAATCCATGAGTATTGAATATGGATGGATGCAAAACATTTGCAGCAGTACTATGTACTGATGGTAAAAAAGCAGTTGGATATATACAGTTCAAAAAGTGATTAATCACTAAACACTAATTAGCCAAACCATATACATAATATACAATGAAGGTTAGATGATTTCTGATCACAGTATGGTGTGAAAATTTGACTGCAAACCAGCGACGAAGGAAATAAGCAGCACCATTTTTTCTTCTTCTGATAAGATAGAATTTATGCAGCTGCAAAAACCTTTGATTGTTTTAGGTCATCTCCAACCGAAGGGTTCATACTTCATAGGGCTAGAGGGTTGAAAATAACCTAAAAATCATCTCTAACTGAGGGCCAGGCCAAAGGGCTCGTGGGCCCTACTAGACAAAAAAGGGTCAAAGGGCCAACCGGTTGGCCCAAAGGAGCCAGCCAGCCGGGCCAGAATTTGAAAACCAACATTAACTAGCTAACATCAAATAGTCGTTATTATTATTTATTTTATTTTTTTTTACAAAATTTGTTTTAAAAATTGTAAAAATTCTTTTTTTTTTCCTATAACTTGCTACACCATTAAACATTACATAACATTAAGTAACATGAAACAACATTAAACAATATTAAACAATATTAAATAACATTAAATAACATTAAACAACATAAAAATTATGTTTTAACCCTATGGCCGTTGGAGATGATTTTTTGTGACAAGGCTAAAACGAGCCATTTGGCCCTCGGTTAGAGATGGTAAGAAATATGGTCTTCCATTGTTCATTAAAATATTAATTTCTTGTAGAACCAGAGGGTTAAAATGAGTCATCTGGCCAGCCTTCGGTTGGAGATGACCTTATTTCTTTCTTTTTGGGCCATCTGAAGCCTTGACTTTGAAAATGCGAGTTATACAGCAGACGCGTTTGCAACATGAAAGAAGTTTATAACTATTAGTCTAGTAATATTTCACGGAATTTCTCTTTTGAATTATCAAACTCTTAGTTTGCAATGCCGTGAGGAAATTTTGCATCTGTTGCATA